TTGCAAATCCTTGCAGCTCCCTTTGATCCAACATCAGCTGAATCAGTAATTTTATATACATCATAATGTGTAGGAAAATCCTTTCATATGAGGAATAGAGTATAAACGTGTAAACTTAGAAAAACAATACATCCAAAGCCCTAAGGATACCTTCAACTCCGTGAACATTGAATTCATCTTCTGGTGGCATGATTCCACTGGTTGAAGCATTTATAAGCATGGAAGTCTCATCCCATGAAGGATACCCGGGTGCAAGAGGGTTCACTGACGAAGGATAAGCCATAGACCCCGGTAGTGGCACTAAAACTGCCCAGAGTGTTCACAAACAGAAGGAAATTATGTAAGGAATTAATGAAATGCAGGCATGAAATCAAAGTGACCGTAGTAAATTAAGGACAAACCATTTTTTGGTGCCTTTTGGGGATAAGGATGAGACGCTTTACGCTTCGGGCGAGGTGGTGGCACATGTGCTATTGTACCATTCTTTTGGACCTTCAAAAAGTACTTCTGGGCATGACTGCGAATCTATAGGTGAAATCAACAATTAGCAAACACCACATATATCAACTGAAAATTAAGTATACATAATTGTATTCTATCATTTTATCATTTAATGGATGCTTTTAAAGAGGACAGGGAGGTACGCAGTTCATTTGGAAACCAACCAAATTGTGACTCAACAGACAAAATGTATTGAAGGAAGAAAAGAAAAAATTCAGAAACAGCTTAAAGAGATTAAATGGTAGTTTACCTGAATCACTGTCTTTGAACCAACAAAATCTTCAATTTTCTTCCAGTCTCGATCAAACCTGAAAACCAGAGAGAGAGAGAGGAGAAAAAAAAAAGCTTCAGAAAACTGTTCCTTAACTCAAAGAGCACACATATCACCTTGACTCCAAACTAAACATTCAAAATTTACAGGGGAAAAAAAAAACTAAATTCCTAGCCAATTGAGCCCGAAAAATCAGGCTTTATTAACCCTAATTCACATCCAACGAATAAAAAATTACAGGGGGGAAAAACCTAAAAAATTCTAGCGAAATGAGCCCGCAAAATCAGCTTTACTAACCCAAATTCATATCTATCGAAATTGAAATGAAAAAGACACACAAAATTTAAAAATTTGAAAACGAAAAAAGAACAAATAAAGTAGCTATTTTATTTTAACAACCATACACAAAAATACACTGATAATTTATCTAGACTTGAGAAACCACTCCAATTGCTACAGTCAAACACAAAAGGGGCATTCGCATACGGACACACACACAACAAACACTACACATCATATACAGCAGCATCACAGGAAGAGAGAGAGTAAGGCCAGAAAATGTAAATTGCGGATGAAGGAAGAGCGGGGCTTAACAGTTGAAGAGCTTCGAGGAACTTGTCGTGTTCTTCCTCAGTCCAGCTCTCTCTGGACTTGGTTATGGTGTAGGGTTTTCGAACCTTCTTGCCCGACCCGTCGGTCGGGGTTGAACTGTTGCTCGGGTTCGCCATAGACTGAGAGTTGGAAGAGGCGGAGGTCATGGGACGTATGATGGAGAGGGAGAGAGAGAGAGAGAGAAAGAGAGAGCGGCAAGTTGAATGGTGATATGAAGCCCAGATTCGAGGCCTCCGCATGTGGTGTAAAATCCGGGCCCATCTCTTTGTGTAGGGGTGTGGATATCCGACACGTGTCGTAAGTACATCCACTCAACGTGCTGCGTGGACAATCAATTTAAAGATTTAGGCCTAGCTGTTGGATTTAGTTGCCATGTCCCAAGGCAAAAATGGGGCATGAGAAAACCAGACGTCTCCTATTACTTGGGTGACCTAGTGATAGAGGTTGGGGCACCTAATACATCCAATTCATTCCAACTTTTGCTTTGTGATTTCATTTTCAATTTAATTTAGAATTCTATAGTGCACGACGGTTACACATTTACACTACATTTATAGTTTTGACCTTGACTAGTGACTACCAATAATAATTTTCAAATCAATAGTTTTACATGACCGAGTCCAGATAATCAAATTTCAGCACTCATTTTGTGATTGTGGTAAGTCAAACATGTTGTATTACAGAGTTATTTAACTATCTAGCTGTCATATCTTACTTAAAATCGATTAGTGATGAGTATATGAACATTAATCATTTAACCACATCCATTCGTGGTAAGTTACAACGACATTCGAATCGAACATGGATTGAACTCAGTCAACCCGGTCAACGCCCAATAAATACATATCTTTTGATTGGAAGGGTAGAGTAAAGACCACTGGACTACAAGTTGGGAGGGTGAAGTAGAGACCGATGGGCAATGATGTTCGAAGGGGGTAAGGGCACCCTTATGTAGTGTTCCCAAAAAATAAATAGTTAGCATGTCTCAATCAACCATGCTTACCCAATTTCACCATGTGTCACTACCCAACTCCCTTTAGTAATAAGTTTTTTTTTTATTGCTTCCACTTGTATAATAGATAAGATAGAATAACTAGTTGTTACATTTTACCGGTCCAACCTTCATTTTTTGCACGCTTACAATTATTCTCGAGTTTTGCTCTCAACCTTGACCCTACAGGCTCTCACCGTTGTTCAAATCATTACATGCTCCAAAAAAAAAAAAAAAAAAAAAAAAAAAAAAAAAAAAACTTTGTCTTCTTTTTCCTCTATCTAGTTGTTGCACTCATTGATGTAAGCCAACACTTTGCTTGATTGTGCATTTAGTGGCGGCAAATATATCGGTGGAAGTAATCTAGGATGCTCGCTTGGGATCAACAACTGTAAATCCCATGGCCATCTCATCCATCTCCAAGTGATATTCTGTAGGTTTTTCCAACACCTTTTTATTTGTTTTGGGAGCTTATTATTCTATCCATGGTCTCGTTGAATACCCCATCTTCCTTTCCTTTGGTCTGGTTCACTTCTTTAGACTCAGCGTACTAGTCAGCTTTCATGACCTTTTATCTTGGGACTTTTGTACAAGTCCCTAATTCTTAAGGATTCGATGAAGATGAAGATGGTGAATTGTCGTCCATCATGTCTACCTCTATTGCTTCCACCCGTCAACGAATTAAGAAATTGATAAGAGTTTTGTTAGCCTTTTGCTTGGCAGTAGCTAAAAGAGAAATGTTTCATAACTTTTGTTTATCGTATGAAATGTGCAGTAATTTAACCTTGAGATCATAGAAATAGTCGATCAACCCTTGATTAAGCCCATGAATTGTTGTTCAATTGATCGTTGAAAAGAGTACTCTGCACATGATTGCATATTTATTAGCCCCCATTAGCATCATGGCGGGTTGGTAGGACATGATGTACTCTTTGCAGTCCGAAATCCCGTTGAAGAATTGTATGCTAGGTGCTTTGAAGTTGGCAAGAGTGGTTCGTTCATGATCTTTGTCTTGAAAGGAGCGGTGATCGTGACTTTTGAGATCACCATCCTCCTTCCACCGAATTAGCTCCTCAATTCTCCTGTTAGCCTTATTGGCACATCCCTCCAGGATAGTCACTCGAATTTTGTTGCACATGTTAATGGCTCGAGGGATACTAACGGTTGGGGTACGATCAATACTTTTATATATGGTCTCTCTACGGGCAAGCTCTAGTTCCCCACAACGGGCTCTCTCATCTTGGTTTCAATCGTGACCCTTGATCCGCTGGCTCGGGGCCCTAATCTTTCACTCACCAGCCTCTTCCTAGCTATAGAGTGCTCAGTCGAGTTAGGGGTGCGTTTGCCTGAGAGCCTTTGAGCTAGTGATCGCCTATTGCATTGGGCTGGATTGTGACCCCATAGCTATTGCGCTACTCACACACCGATGACATTGACTAACTCTCGCACCTAACGGTTGGACGCACCTTTGACTCCCATAGAGTTTGGGTTATTTATTGCCACTGGGCGTCCTCTCAGACGATCAATGTGCCAGTCAAACTTTGGATTTCTTCTGGGTGAGAAACCGACCCCAAAAACATGCTTACCTTCTTCGAAGTTAGTCGAAGCATTTTTGTAGGTCCTAAGAATATTGGCTTCAAGATTCGACCATTTTGATAAATTTCAGGGCTAATTTTGAAAAAAAGAAAAAAAAAAAAAGAAAAAAAAAAGTGTGACGTCGGGTAGATTTTGAAAATGGTCAAAATGAATGTCACCTTTAGCAACACCCAAATTAGTTCATAATTTTTAGAAATGTTTACAAATAATTAATAATGACAAAATTAAGTTAAAAACAACCTAAACTATATATATATATATATATATATATATATATATATATATATATATATATATATATATATAGAATTAGGTTCTGGTGCGGTTAGGGTGCCCAGGTGCGGTTGTGCAGTTTAATCTGGGCCATTCATCTCGCTTAAATTAGGATTACCAAAATTTTAAAACAAAATGCGGTGGTAATTTTGTAATTTTTGCATCTAGGTCAAAATTAAGGTGAGCGGTTCTGTGATTAATGTGCATGAGTTTTGTATATAAGATGCGTGAGTCTTGTGCGTGGGGTTGAGCTTAATGTGCGTGGGGTTGAGCTTAATGTGCGTGAGGTTGAGCTTAATGTGAGTAGTTGTTAAAACTTAAAGTGTGGACTTTTGTGCTTAAGGTGTGTGAGATTTGTTCTTAATGTGAGTGGAGTTTGTGCTTAATGTGTGTAGGGTTTGTGCTTAATGTGTGTGAGGTTAGTGATTAATGTCAATAGTTGTTGAAACTTAAGGTGTGAGTTTAATACTTAAAGTGCGTGTGTTTGTGCTTAATGTGCGTGAGGTTGTGCTTAATGTGCGTGAGTTCTGTACTTAATGTGCATAATTTTGTGCTTAATGTCAGCATGTTGAAACTTAAGGTCTGTGAGTTAATACTTAAAATGCGTGGGTTTTGTACTTAATGTGCCTAAGGTTGTGCTTAATGTGCGTGGGTTTGTACTTAATGTGTGTGGAGTTATGCTTAAGATCTAACACTTAATGTGCGTGGGTTTGTACTTAATGTGCGTGGGGTTATGCTTAAGATCTAACACTTAAGGTGCGTGTTTCTATCACTTAAGATGCGCCATTTTTAACTTATCCTTCTTACTTTCAGACACGCGTTTTTTTTTTTTTTTTTTTAAATTTCATTGATTTGAGCCATTGATCAACGGCTCAGATCTAACCGCACAACTGCACGGGAAGCACTCCCGCATCCCTTCCCTATATATATATAGGGAAGGGATGCGGGAGTGCTTCCCGTGCGGTTGTGCGGGTAGACTCACATTAAGCATTACATTGACGCACTTTTAAGTACACAACACACGCACATTAAACACAAAAACAAAATACATTCAGAACACAAACTCACGCACCTTAAAGCAAGTCACGCATCTTAAGCACAAAACTCACGCACCTTAAGCACAAAAACACACAGACCTTAAATTTTAACAACAACTCACATTAAGCACAAGACTCACGCACCTTAAGTACAAAACTCACGCACATTAAGCATTACACACTCAGGCACCTTAAACACAAATTTCACGCACATTAATCACCCGCACAACCGCACGGGAGACACTTACCCGCACTGGAACTTGATATATATATATATATATATATATATATGTCCTTCACTTGACAGATATCCTGTAATCTGACTCATTATCAACCATCATGCATGGCACAATGCAAAAACTAAACATATATGGAATATGACAATGACCATAGAGAAAACTGATTCTTAATCCAAATGATGAGAATCCCACCTATTCAAGCATCAAAAAACTATTCATTAATCCAAAAGAACATCTCTCACTTCGACTCCACGCTAAATATTAAACAATTATAGAAGGATAACCTAAAACCCTAGCCAATCGAGCCTTCCAAATCACTATGTTAACCCAAATTAAATTCAAATCAAACAAAGTTGAAATGAAAGCGACAGATCGAGAAGAATTTGAAAATTCTAAAACGAAAAAGGACAAATTAATAAAACAGCAATATATATAATTGCTAAAATCAAACACAAACGGACATTCGCATTATCAGATAAGGCATATGAACACATAAACAGTCTGATATTAGATGCAGAAAGAGGGAGTGAGATTAGAGAATGTAAATTGAGAGGGAGAAATCAGAGGGGCTTAACGTACAGTTGAAGAGCTTCGAGGAACTTGTCGTGTTCTTCTTCGGTCCAGCTCTCTCTGGACTTGGTTATGGTGTAGGGTTTTCGGACCTTCTTGCCCGATCCGTCGGTCGGGGTTGAACTGTTGATGATTGGATTCGCCATGACTGAGAGTTGGAAGAATTGGAGGTCACGGGTTGATAGTGCTTCTAATCTGTCGGCCAAATTGGATTCATATGATTTGAGAATTGAAGAGAGAGAGAGAGAGAGAGAGAGAGGCAAGTTGGTACGAACTGGTTTTGCGAATCAGGTAATACGATGGCGATGAATTAGTAAGTAGTAACCGACTTTTCCCCGCCGATTTATTCCGTGGTCATTTATCGTTGGACGGTTAGACGTTAGGTGAGAGAAAATTATATGCTGCCACGACTGCATAGTTTGTACAATACGCCATCACTACCTGGATACTGGATAGTACCTGCTGCTACTCCCATGATTTTTATTTTTTTAAAATCATATTATTTTTTATTTTTCCTTTGTAATTTTCCTCCTGAATTGATAATAAACTTTATATATATATTAGGTGTTTACATATGAAATCCACATCATGCATCACGAGTTAAAAATGAATTTACTTGTAATTAAATACTAACTACTACCAAGACTATGTGGTCTAATGATACTCGGGTTGGACTTCCATTTAGAAGGTTGTGAGTACGAGCCTCAATGGAGGCGTTATTGGTTCTTACTTTGTGTTTCAGTAGGTTGAGAAAGTATATGAATAGATACTTGTGTTTCAGTAGGTTGAGAAAGTATATGAATAGATACTGGATACTGGTTCTTTCTTTGTGTTTCATACTACATTGTAATAGAGTCAGTTCTTTGTGTTTCGTTTCGTTTCAGTAGGTTGAGAAAGTAAAGTATATGATTCTTTCTTTGTGTTTCGTACTACATTGTAATAGAGTCAGTTATTGGTTCTTTCTTTGTGTTTCGTTTCAGTAGGTTGTAGGTTGAGAAAGTATATGTTTCGTTTCAGTAGGTTGTAGGTTGAGAAAGTATATGATTCTTTCTTTGTGTTTCGTTTCAGTAGGTTGTAGGTTGAGAAAGTATATGATTCTTTCTTTGTGTTTCGTTTCAGTAGGTTGAGAAAGTATATGAACAGATACTACATTGTAATAGAGTCAGTAACATTCAAAAAAATTCTGTCACTATGAGAAGTTTATGAATAATGTATAGCATTACTCTTTTGATAAATTAACAAATTGTTAGAGTTATTCTCTTACGAAATGTTTGGTTGCAATAAGAGAATTATAGGAAAAATGATTTGTAATTCTTATAGAGAGAAATAATAAGTAAGAATTCAATACATTATTTGGTTGGTGGGAGTATAATAATCACCTGCAACTTCAATTATAGTGTTTAGTTTATACAAAAATTGTAAGAGGATATGCAATTTGAACCATGATCCACAATAGGTCATCGGAAAAGACAACCAACCCATCATTATTGTGTGGTTTGAAATCTATAATTTTAAATGTTATAGTGTCTTATTTGGAATGTACAAGACCAAATTATACGAGTAATCAAACATTTCCAAACTACAAACTTTTGAATCTCAAGCACAATAAAAAAACTGCAAAGATCAATGATTTAATTGTTGTCAATAAATTCAGATATTCGCTTCAAAACCAAAATAAATGTGTTGACAAAAGAAAATGTAACGCCAATTATTAAATACTATGATCCCTATCAAGTATTGAAAGTTAAAAAGTAAAAGAGATCTGAAAAATTAAAAGTTAAAGCTCAAGGCCTTCAACGTTGATAGTTCCTTCTTTCAGAGGAAGGGACTTGCTCTAAAGAATAAAAATTTACATTTAGTCCCTTACTATTAATTACATATTAATCACATTTGGTCTTTAATTATTAAAATTTTCTAATTAATTGCATGACTATATAATTTGTATAACATTTGGTCATGCCGTCTAATTTTTCGGCTCGTCAATTATTGTCAAAAGTGCTCATTCAAGAAGAAGCAAATGCATGCAGTGTTCAGTCCGGAAGAAGTAAATGCAATGCTCCTTCCGGAAGGAGCACTTTGGTAATAGTTGTCTGAGAAATTGGACGAAATGGCTAAATGTGATTCAAATTATTACATAGTCATGCTCCAAATTAGAAAATTTTAATAATCAATGACTAAATGTGATTCATATATAATATTCAAATTAAAGGACCAAAAGTGACATTTTCTCAAGTTAAAAATTGAAAGTTGCATGTGTTAACATAATTAATTATGTTAAAAGTATTCCGTAAAAGTAGTTATTGGGTAAATTGGTAAATGTAAAAAAGATTAAAACAAACACACATATAGGTAAATATAAGTATACACATTGCAATTTAAGGTATCAAAATGAATTTATAGCATAATTGTAAGTTCTTTCAAGTATAATTATGCAATACACATGTAACAATTACTCCGTAACATATAAGTCAATTTGCTCACTAAAAGCATCTTTTACTAATTTGTTGATACACCGTAAATAAATATGAAACAACTATAAGAAATATGATAATAAGACCATATGGATATAATCCGTCATCTATACCATCCAATATGCATATTTGTTTTGTATTAAGTAAACATGTTGTGCCAACCACCTAATGCTCAGATGGCACTCGGGTTGAATTCCCATATGGGAGGTTGTGAGTTTGAGCCTCAGTGAATACGTTATTGACTCTTTGTGCAAAAAAAGTAAACATGTCGTAAAAAAATTTTATTGGCATAATATTTTTCTCAAATTTGAAGAAAAATAGATTTTACCTTGTTTGGTTGGTGAAAATTTATTCAAATAAAAAATGAATTTAAAATAAATTCCTTACGCTCATTTGACATTTTATTTTTTGGGAAAAAAGTTCAACACATATTACCCTCATATATCTTTACTATGTAAAAGCCTTTGAGTCTTTATACTAATTATTTTCAACAATTTATTTTTCTATCAACCAAATAATGAAATTAATATTCAAATGATTTTTTTTTAATAAAATTTAAATTCAATTCTTATGATTTTTTCAATTGTCATCGTTAAATCACTTTTAATTCTTACATCGTCTTCTATAAAGTTTTTATTTCACTATGATACTGCTAATTACTACGTAAGCAATAATTAAACAAACACGAGACCAAATAAAGCAAGTAAATATCTTGATTGATCACGGTGAAGGCCCTAAGTACAATCTACTTGGTTGCTCTGAGTACCGACTGACTGCGGTCGGGATTCTCTAACAACAACCTATCAATCGTCCAAAAGTCCCTCACACTGTAGCTACTGTGGGTATTTATAGCCGCTACGCCGGAGACACAAATCCGGTCGTTCGGCATGCTCCCCACATAGCCACCACGTGTCATCCTCTCGGGTGCCCTGTCTGTCGTCGCAAGGAACCGCCACGTGTCCTTTGTCAGCTCTCTCGCCGAAGGGCTACCGCTCGGTGGTCAACACTGCCGCTCGGGCAACTCCCGGTCGGACCCCGACCGAGTTCTTCACAAGAAGCCCGACCTGTTACCTGCAAAGACAAGAAGAAAAAGACAAAGGCAGACCAGCCGGGGTAAAATAATGTCGGTCGGGATATTCCCTACCACACTAAAAAAACCTATGAAAAACTTGTATGGTTAATATCAGTTTGTTATTTTCATTGAAAGGACAGCTGGGAATAAAGAAAATTTAATAAAACCTACATATTTTGCAATGTAATTGGGGGAACATGAGAAACCTATGAATTGGGTACGATACTACGATCAGCCTTGCTTTTGTTAGGTTATACCAATTTTCAAAAGTCGATAAAATTTTGAGTTATTGATTATGGACAGATCGATCAATCACGAGGCAGATGAGGGCAACACCGTAAAGCTGCACAACCCGCGCGTAGGCGTAACGGATCGCAGGTTCGGTAGTTACGTCATACGTGACACAGCCGCCGACTTATATTCGGATGAAAAGAGGAATCGTAAAACTGGAGTGGGGCACACGCGATTTAGCGTGAAGATACGTGCGTGTCTATCTGGTCCACTAGTTTTAAGTTTCGATGGTCCCATGATGTCCCGTACTCCTCAGTCCTGTCGCATCCTCCTTGGCATAGAGAGGAGCTACATGAGTACATGAGTACATGATGACTTCTAGACTTCGCACATGGAATTCTGAATCTTACTTTTTTAATTTTATTATTTAATGTGACAGATACTGATAAGTTATTTTTTATACGAGTCTCAATATAAGGGGGTGTTTGGTTCGGTTATATAACATAACCAAAGAAATGTGATATTTCAAAGCTCACATTCCTATGTTTGGTTCATATTATCTTAGGGAATCTAACATTCCTAAGGAATGTCACATTCCATCCACATAGGATTTTGAAGGGAGTGTGATTCCCTTCAATTTCTTAGGTTATGTAAGATAACATTGGTTATGTTAGTTTATTATATATATATATATATATATATATATATATATATATAAAATTAATTAATTCATTTTGTAATTATATATTTTTTATTTTTATTATGTTATGTTAGCATATAAAATAATTTTGTTTCTCAAGTTCAAGATTTTAGTTAATATTTTAAAATCATGTAATTATATATGATACCGTTATCTTATTTATTTATTTTCATTTTGAAATTTCTTTTATTAAAATATATGAAAATGTTAAGGATATTATAGTGTGTGTAAAAGATAACCCTAAACCAAACATGATTATATTACAATCCCAATTTTAACCAAACACAGGAATCTAACATTCCCAGTAATCTAACATTTCTAGCAATTTAACATTCCCTAAGGTAATCTAACATTCCGTGAACCAAACGACCCCTAAGTGTTTAGATCAAAATTTTATGTGTGGAAGTAAAAATTAAGAGTAGAAAATAAGATTACATATAGTATTTTCTCTATATGATCACTAGTTTATTTAGTAATCACAAAAAAATACTCCATAATAAATTTCATTAAGAAAGAAGAAATGAAAGTTTGAATCTCGCAAGGGTGACTTTTACTGTAGTTATTTTTGAGAACTATGTATACTAGAGTAATTTTACCTAAACGGTGTTGGTCAGACAATTAGTTTGGTTTGGTAGCTATATAAAAGATTTTGAATTTGACTCTATGTAGGTATTGTCTACTAGAGCAGCCTCATTAGTTAGGTTTTTCTACTAATTTTTTGTACGTCCTAACATCCACTATCTAACTCAATATCAAAAACCATTCTCTCCATTAGTTTCAAGTTTTTTTTTTTCTAAATTTTTTGTAGACTCACTATTTTTATTCCAAAATATTTTAATTATTTTAAAATAAACATACCTACATTTAATTAAAATGATAATTATAAAATTAAAATAAACTACTACTTGCTTAAAAATTAAACTACAATCTTATTTTAAAAAAAATTAAACTGCATACAAAATAAAATACAAACAATGCATATTTGAGTATTTGACCATGTAGACTGAATTTATTTTTAAAAAATAAAAACGAATATGTACTTTATGTTTTGTTTTGTGTTTTTTTTTTTTTCTTTTTGAAAAAGTGTCAAATTGACCCCCTAAGTCATTCGAATAGTGCAATTAGGTCCCTTGAATTAAAAAAGAAAAAAAAAAGAGCATCATTCAAATCCCCTAAACAGGTAAAATAATTCAATTGAGTCCAAATTTACATGTAGGTTAATTCATCCCCAACTTGACACATGTCGCCTTTAAAATATTTTTTTATTTTTATTCTTTAAAAAGTTATTTATTATTAAATTATTTTTTTTTAAAGATGAAATTTCAAGCACGCCCATGGTTGTCCTGTCTGGGGACGACCCGGACAGCCATGGCCCTCGTTCCCGGCCGTTTGAGGTCCAGATCTGGACCTCATGTTGACAGTCGTGGCTGTTCGTGAAGGAGGCAGCCACCGGTTGTCCTCGGCAGACAGTCGGTGGCTGATTTTTTTTTTTTATATAGTAATTTAATAATAAATAATTTTTTTTAAGAATAAAAATAAAAAATATATATTTTAAAGGCGACACGTGCCAAGTTGGTGAATTGAACTATTTTACAGGTTTAGGGAATCTGAATGTAGCTTTTTTTTTTTATTTATGGGACCTAATTGCACTACCCGAATGACTAAGGGGACCAATTTGACACTTTTTCCTCTTTTTTTTTTTTTTTTTTTTTTTTTTTTTTTTGTATTTCAATAGGAGTATTTTTATGGTCAAATACAATAACTAATTCTCTTACAACACGTTTGGTTCACGGAATGAATTTTGAGGTAATCGGAATCCTATTCCATAAGTAATGGAATATGCAAGGAATATAATAAGAATTGTATTCCATTGTTTGGTTCGCGGAATGAATAGACTTTAGGAATTATATTACAGTGTTTGGTTGGTTTAATGAATAGAAATGATATATGTTTTAAAAGACATAAATACCTTTATAAAAATATGTGGTGGTGGTGGCGGCTATGGCGACGGCGGTGATGATGGTGGCGGTGGTGGATATTTTCGATATTAGAGTACAAAAGCTATTCTCAAACACTTGGGAATAACTAATATCAGGGGTCCCCTAAGAATGGTTATTCTCCTTGCAAAGGAAATATCTCATTTCCAGGAATGTCATTCCCAGCCATAAAAAGACAAAATAAACAATAGAATAAGTCTATTCACAAAAATAATATTCTATTCCTGACCTATTCCATGAACTAAACACGCGGTTACTGAATTAGAGACACGGAAATATAGCTAATCCTATTGATGGCTCAATGTGGTGCACACCGACCGTCCGATTAGGCGAGTAAAATACCAATGGACGTCCGAGATTGAATGTTTTGGTATGTGGTGTAAAACGGGGCGCCCACCCTCTTTTCTGTTAGGGTGTCACTCTCCTGACACGTCTCATGGGTGCATCCACGTAACGTGCTGATTGGCTAGGCTGCCAAGTAATTGTTATGCTGTAGAACCTTATTCACCTTGCACAGTGGATACAATTCTATATTCATAATTACTGAACTCTATGTTTATAATTATAAAATTCTATGTTCATAATTTTTAAACTTTCATATTCATAATTATTGAACTTTATATTTACAATTACAAAACTCTATGTTCATAATTACTGAACTCTATAATTATGAAATTATATGTTCATAATTTTTGAATTTTATATTCACAATTATTGAACTCTATATTCCCAATTACAGAACTCTATGTTCATAATTATAGAACTCTATGTTCATAATTTTTGAACTCTATATTTACAATTCTGAGCAATTTTGGAACCTGTTCACATTGTAGGGTAGACACAGTTCCACAGCATAATTTGCTGCTGACAAGCATGAAAAAGTTTTGGGCCAAGGCGGGTGGATAAAGCCTAAAATTGGAGGTCATCCACATTAGTGAATTTTGGACCATTTTTCAAATAAATGCGAGTGATGTGGAGGATAGGAGGAGAGATGTAATGAAGAGAGAAAATAAAAAATCTCCCTGCAAGGAAGTGGTTTTAATAAAAAAAAAAAGTGAGTTTCACCATGTGCATTTATTCTCTGCATGTGGTCGCGTGGAGTGCAACCAATGCGCCCAGCCGGGCGCGTTAATTGCTTTATTATTAATTTTTTTTTTTTTGTTTTTGTTTTTCAGATTTATTTTATTATTATTTTATTATTTTTTCTTTTTCTCTTTTCATCATCTCTCTTCTAGTTGGCACCTAAAAAATTGATTAAAAAACATCACTATTGAGAACGCCATAAGGAAGTTCAAAGATAAGAAATCATATAAATCCAATTTGAGTTAATTTAAAAAGTGATCCACCAATTATTTACTAACAAATTATTGTGTAGACCGTGGTCCATACACCTGTATGAATCAAGGTTCAAAACGACATCGTTTTAATGTTAACAAAATTAAATTTATTATTCCATTTCGCGTGTTAGAATAATGAATATTTTGGGATAATATAATTTATTTTATGAGTTAGAATAATGTACTTTATATGTGTTAGAATAATAAAATTTTGGAGTAAGATAATATATTTTGAGTTAGAATAATGTACTTTAAGAAATTCATTTGAGAAGGGTCAATTATAAATGATAAATCATTTGTACCTTTCTACATATCCTCAAAGTTATTTACAAGAAGAATTAAGTGACTCCGACTAATTTGATGAATTAAAAGGGGAGAAAACAAGTGAACTGAGAAAGAGCTTGAAACAACAAGATGGAGTTAACAAATGAGAGATCATTCTTCTTTGTTAGGAGATGAAGATATGAACAATGAACCACATAATTTTACATTTTTACTTTCGTAATTGATGCATCCTAACGATCTTATTATTCCTTATTGATTTGACCTCTTCATATTTACTTTACGGCGTGGTAATAAAGTTTATAAAGAAATAAAATTAAGAGATGGAAATCAACATATAAATTACATCTTAAATTAAAATCAATCATAAAATCTTTTGCATTGCATTTAGTCACATTTCAAATAAGAGAATTATATTCCATCCACACCTGTTTGGAAGCAAAAATTTCTGCGTTTTTTTTTTTCTTTTTAAATTTTCTTCCAATTTGATCCATTGATCTGATCTAGATCAACGATTCAGATTTTACATCATTTCACCTGGAAGAAACTACAAAATCTTTTGGGGTTGTTTTACCAAAGTGGAGAAATGGAGAATTTTCCAAAAAAATAAAAAATTAGAGAGGTAGAAAAATGATAAATGAAAAACTTGTTTACTAAATCTATTGCATTGCATTTAGTCACATTTCAAATAAGAGAATTATGTTTCATCCACACCTGTTTGGGGGCTAAAATCTCTTTCGTTTTTTTTTTTTTTTTTTTTTTTTATAATTCTTTCAATTTGAGCCATTGATCTGATCGATCAACGGTTCAAATTTTACCTCATGTCACCTGGAAGAAACTTGACATGTGAACACACACACACACACACACACACACACACACATATATATATATATATATATATATATATATATATATATATATATATATATATATATATATATATATGCTTGCCACTGAAGTACTATTTATTAGGACAAGTGGATGGTGAATAAATGGCATTCTACTGGCTTGTCACTGAGCATGATATAATTGCAGAGGAAACAAACATGCCATTTCAGCCTGGTGAACAAATGGGTACGATACTCACAATAAACAGGCTACAACCAAAAGGAAAGTGGAAGTATTGTCTATCACCTCTTTTAAGACAAATGGTTCTTCTCGCGGCATCTTTGAAGTATCTTTAAAATATCTTTCATAGACGGCCTGCTCAAAGGGAAACTCAAAGTACACGCAAGGCCTAATTTGAAAACGGTGGTCGCCGCCTTCAGGTGTTGTGGATCCTTGATTTCCTCATCCAAGGCATCTACAAAGGAGTTTCCTTCTCTTTGGTGTTTGTGTGCCCATTGTGCTAGGTTCATGTCCTTATTTGCAGTCACGGCTTCTCTTCCCGTTGTCAATTCCAAGAGCACTACACCAAAGCTGTAGACGTCGCTCTTTGCATTCACTTTTCTTGTGTTGCCATATTCTACAACCCGATATGATGCTAAATATGTGATTCTAAGAGTATAAAAAAATAGTGGGAATTCAAGTGAGGAAGATATAAAGAACATACCGGGGGCAATGTAACCAAAAGTTCCCACAATAGCGGAAGCTGTTTCTGGATCTCCTTGACTCGCCAGCATCTTTGCTAGTCCGAAGTCTGCAATCTTGGCATTGAAGTCGGAGTCCACGAGTATGTTACTGGACTTGATGTCTCGATGAACAATGGGCGGATTGCAACCGTGATGCATATAGCAAAGCCCTTGTGCAGCTCCAATGGCAATTTTTAGCCTTCTCTCCCATTGCAAGACTTGAGTAGTTAAGCCCCTCTTCTTTCCATGCAACCATTTATGAACACATTGTTTGTCCATGTATTCATACACAAGAACCTTAGTAGTCTTTCCTCTTATGCAACATAGCAGCTTCACTATGTTGTTGTGCCTGATTCCCCCAAGGATCTTCACCTCTGCTAGGAATTGTTTCTCCATTAATCCCTGCCCTTGCTTTTGTTCATGCCTTATACTTTTAACAGCAACTCTCTGGTCTTTCCTGGTTATAACTCTATATACTTTTCCAGACCCTCCATTTCCAATCAAATTTTCATCCCTCAGACCACCCAAAATATCCCATTTATTGAACTCCAACCTTTGAAATGAAATCATACTCCATTCTTCTCCATCCCTTTCCTCCCTCCTTTCCCCTCCACGTCTCAACACGAGTAACAGAATTACTAACCCGATAAGTACTGCAATTCCAGCACACGGTATAATGATGTAATAATTTTTCTCTGATCTACCGGGCTTAGAACTTGAACTTGAACTTGAATTTGATTCTAGGCCATACTGAGGATGAATGTAGTCAAAAAGGCCAGAATTATTGGCAAAATATTCTCTAGAATATGCGTCGAAAAGATCAGAATGAGGTATCATTCCAACAAGATGGTTATTTGACAGATCAATATACCTGAGTGATGTGAGGCCGGTTAAAGTTTGTGGGATTGAACCATTGAGCCGGTTGTGTGACAGATAAAAAAGCTCAACATTCTTCAAGCCATCAAGTTCTTGAGGGATTAGACCGGAGAGATCATTATGCCCCAGATTCAGAACTAAGAGATAGTACATGGAGCCTAATTCCTTAGGGATACTGCCTTCCAACTTGTTGTATGAAAGGTCGAGGAAAACCATGGATCCATTGTGGGAAAATGATGGTTGGGAAATGTCCTTGTAGACTGTAAACCTGCAGGGGTGCCTGGTTGAAATCCTGTCGAGGCGATCCTCAGTAATCCCACCGAATTCGAGTAAATTTCCTGTGATGTGGCACTGCTCACTTGTATCGTTCCAAATATACAGAAAATGCTTCACAGAGAGTAATGGCAATGCAATATTGCCAGATTGTTTGAACAGATCAGGCGGAATAGGCCTGTTCAAGAAATTGGTGTTGAGATCTAACCATAACAAGCTACTGCAATTCCCCAACTCAGCAGGGATGTTCCCGGAGATGGAGTTGTTTCCCAGCTTGAGAATGGCGAGATTAGACAAGCGCCCGAATGAAGCAGGTATAGCACCACTCAACAAATTATTAGACAAAGAAATCCATTTCAAATTAGTACAGTTGCTGAGGCTTTCAGGGATTGAGCCTGACAAGTCATTGAAATCAAGAATCAGACTTTCCAAGTACTGCAAGTAGCTTAGCTCCGGTGGGATTTCCCCCTCGAGCCCGTTCAACCAAATTATCAAATCCTTGAGCTTCGACAAGGACCCGAGACTAGATGATATCTTCCCGTTAAGATAATTAAAGCTAAGATCAAGAGATTCCAATTGGGAACAGTTGCTTAGTGTCTCAGGTATTGGACCAGTGAACAGGTTGTTCTGAAGGTACAACACTTTCAAGCTGTTCTTAGGGTCTTTACAAATCCCAGATGGAATCAAACCAGAGATGTTATTAGAACTCAAATCTAAGGTCTCTAAGTTTACCAAGCTAGAGAGTGACTCAGGCAAGCCACCAACAAAATTATTGAATGATAAAACCAGTGTCTTCAAGCTAGTCATATTCAGTAAGGTTTCAACAGGCAACTCACCAGAGAATTTATTGCTGGAGAGATCGAGGAAACCGAGGTTGGAGCACGAAGAAAGGGAGGCACCAATATCACCACTGAACTTGTTGGATGATAAATCAAGATGCTGTAAACTAAAGCAGTCTTGAAATGAAGGAAAATTTCCAGAAAAATTGTTGGCAGAAAGGTCCAAATATGACAAACTTTTGAACCTCAATTCTGGAATATTTCCATTCAGACTGGTGTTCTTCAACTCCAGACTCTCCAAGTTTTCAAGACTGAGCAAGTAAGAAGAAACCGGGCCAAAATCTACGCCGAGCATAGTGTTTGTGAGATCTACAGAAGAGACCCTTGATCCCTTGCATGTAACACCAGTGAAGCTACAGGGGCTTGTGGAGGATACCCAGTTTTGAAATGGTTTTTGGTTAAAAATCTTAGCTTTGAAAGATAACAGTTGCTGGGAGTCCCTGAAATGCCCATTGAGAGAAGCTGATGAACATGGAGCAGGAAAGAAAATGAACAACACAAATGGAAGAAGAAAACCAGTTCCCCACTGCAAATAGAAACGGAGAAAAGAAACATTGTAGGAAATATTGTTCTTAGCCTTCATCTTTATTATGGGTTTCTCAATCTTTCAATGATCCTAGTTTTAGACCAAGTAAAATAGCCCTTTTTGTGGTTAAAGACTGAATTTGGCAAGCAGAAAAGGAAGATGAAGAGGCAGCATTTTCAAACAATATATTAAGCTGAGGATGAAACCAAACATGAGTTTTAATATATAATATGATCCATGTATTATACTACATATATAAAGATGTAATATCATACTAAAAGAGGCTGACTTGGTCTATTGCTTAATGTGATCAACAAAGTTGGAGTCAATGATATATGAATTAATTTTAGGATATCCTAAATAAATCAACTCTGCTAGCAGATATCTAAACAAAAATTCAATTTGGGTGTAAAATATATATGGACCGAGCAGATAAGTATCTTAAAAAACAAACATGCTGGCAATCCTGTGTCCTTTACATCATATCTGAACAAAAATTGGCTTCACCAAAGCAGCCAACTGGTTTTATATCTTTTCTCAAGTAGCTCATAAGGGATTCTACCAGAAAATTACCTGGAGAAATCTAAGTAGCTAAGGTTGTATAAATTACCCGTATCTTCTGGTATTGATCCATAAAAATGGTTACTTGGTGAAGATACTCTGCTTCCAACTTCTTTTGACTTCACTAAATCTCACTTTCCCCGTCTGTATTGTCCCTTTACTGCCACCTTCTTGGCTCCTTGCTATATTATGTCAACAATCTACTAAGTTGCAACAACTTGGCAAAGTCTATAGTTTTTTTTAATCTCCCCATGCATATAATGACACAAGTGCAAAAGACATTGTAAGGATACAAGAAAAGTTTTTTATTTGCGATGATAAAATTGATACAATGAGGCTTTTTATATAGATAACCTTACTACATACATTTATTTTTTATACAACTTTCCAAAATTACACAATAAGTTGTCTGCCACATTATTTTGATATTTTGTATCTTCTGTTTCCAGTTGTGTTTGTTGATAAGCTTCCTTTTTCTTCATCCATCATATTGCTTCCAGCTGACTTCTAACATGTTCTAGGATTATCTTCACATTCATATTCTTCTCACTTTCTTCCAGCTCATCCATCAGTTTCAAATTTATTCTTTCATCATATGGTTTATAAGATAATAATATTGGGCTTACTGTAGTAAAAGACTACATTGGGCCTGATAATATCAGCTAATAATGGGCTTAGTGTAGTAAGACTACATTGGGCCTGATAATAACTTGATAATAATGGGCTTACTGTAGTAAGACTACATTGGGCCTGATAATATCTTGATAATAATGGGCTTACTGTAGTAAGACTACATTGGGCCTGGTAATAATATTGGGCTTAGTGTAGTAAGACTACGTTGGGCCCGATAATAATATTGGGCTTAGTGTAGTAAGACTACATTGGGCCTGATAATATCTTTGAAATGTTTTGACAATTTGTCATTGATATGATCATTCGATCAATGGTTTAGATTTCCATCCAATGGTATGCATTCCCATGCATTGGTGTGATCTTGTTGATCAGCAGTTTTTGAATTCCCATCCAGTGGTGTGGCATTCGCCATGATAACATTTCAAGAGTTCACATGGTGTTTTTAGAGGGGATTAATATTTTCTTTTCTTTGATTTTATTTCAACTTTTGTACTTATTATTGGTCTTTCCTTTGTCAATTCTTCTATAGTCTTTTTATCATGAGTATGTTTTAAATTTATTATTCTTTCATACATTTCTTGTAGAGTTGTAATATCACTTGTTGATATTTCTGTATTATAATATAATGTTATAATTTCTTCTGTTTCTCCTCCTTTATCTTGTGCTATAATATTTGGCTTTTTAGATTTTATCATACTTTGAATTATAGATTTTAATGCTTTTATTCCATATGCTCTTTTTTCACATAGCCATTCATGAAATTGTTCAATTTTGCATGGTATTTTCATGTTTAGGCTAGTATTATCTCCTTGTATTATAGTATTTTTTCCTACTTTAAACATTTGACAAATTACTATGGGTTTTCCAACTAAATCTGTACTAGCATCAAATACTTGAATTCCATATATTCCCTTTCCAAAAGATTCCATCATTGTGGCCATACTTTCTATTATTATACGAGGTAGTTTACTAATATTATTAAGAGTTTCATTTACCATAATTGAAAATATAAATCCATATGTAAATAATCTTAATACTATATCAGGATCAGCATTTTCATTACATATAAATCTAGGATATTTAGTTATTTTTCTACTTCTTAATATTGTATTATCAGTTTTATAATCATAAAATTTATTAATAATTTCATACATTTCTATTAAATCTTCTGAATGTTTTAGCTTATCAGCCATACTAGTGGATGTTTCAGGGAAAATTGTAAGTTTGGGAAAAGGATTTATAGGCATGGATTCATAGGGTGTTTTCAATTTTTTCATCCTCTTATAGTCTTCAAAGGTTTTTTCTAATCTTTCTATTCTTTTCCTATCTTCACTATTTCTTCCTTTTAATTCTTCAATACTCTCAGTTATATATTGCTCCATCCTATCAATTGTTGTCATGCCTTCTAATATTTGTTTTCCATTTTTTTTTTATCTTTTATAATTATATTAAGTTTTGAAGTTTTGATTGTGGTTTTAGGTCCACCATGATGAACTCCGATTTCTTCGGCTTTCTTTAGTGATTCCACCTTCCTCCTGCTGGTAGGTGTTTACAAGCTCGTCCCATTTCTCCAATCCGACCGATCTGCAATTGGTATTCCAATATTGTTTTTTTTTTAAAAAAAAATTCAGATCTTATTTCAAAATCTATATATGTTTTCTAAGAAATCTACTGTTCCTAATTATATATAAGATCTGATCCTATAAAAGATTAAAAGTATAGTCTAATTTGATCTAACTTCTAAGTAAGGACTAATTATTTTATCTATCCAATGAAAGTTGCTAAAAAATACGAGCGAAAAAGTATAATTCTCTATCAGATCATATTTTGATTCGATCTAGGGTTCAAAAATTCAGATGAGAGCATGAAATATGTATCGTATTTAAGAGTTCTAAAATATGATATGATATGAAATTGAAAACAATTATTGATGTTTTGAAGATGATATGAAGATCAGAGCATATGAATATACCTGAAGTGGTTTCCAGATTGTTAGGTATGATGATGAGTGATTGAAGGGGAAGGCTTCGAAGCCTGGATTTTTGGATGATATTTAAGTAGGAAGAGTTTGAATCCCTCCCTCCTGAATATCATATTCGATCTAAATCTACTAGAAGAACCCAAGTTCATGTTGATGGAATTTCTCTTTCAAAGATTTTTCTAACTCAAATAATGTTTGTGTCTTTGTGCGTGGGAGTATTAATTAATCAAACTAATATTTATTAGGAGTTGGGTTGTGTTTTCTCCTATCCACGTGTCACATTATGATTGTGACACCACAACAGATATAACCCGACCCCATAGACGCCTATTTTTTCATTTTGGCGTCATTACTTACTTCTAACGACGAATCAAACATCAACAAATGGAGGTTGTTTTCATTTGTTAAAGTTTTTTTTTTTTTTTAAATGCGGCTGATTATATTAAAATATAGTATTTATTCATAATTACTTTTTCAACTGAAACACAACGAGTCAATGTCATTTTCACTAAGGCTCAAACTCAGAATCTCTCGTGCAACTTTAGTGTCATTAGATTACAAGGTATTGGCATTTGTTAAGATTTTTATAGTGTGTTTTCACATTTGTTTGTTGAGATTTTTGAAAAAAAATTTGTGTTCGTTTGTTAAGTGTTCATTAATGTTTGTTAATGTTCGTGAACATGTTTGTTAACATTAACGACTCATGAACTTATTCATTCACGTTCGTGAATGCTTAATAATCAAACATATGAACATATACATAATCACAATTCGTTAGGAATAAGAAATAATATATGTTCACGAAAAATAACCAAACAAGTAACACAATTACAAAAAGATTACAACAAAATACTAAACGAACATAAACGAGCTTGTTTATGAGCATTATTAAATGAACACTAAACGAGCTTGTTCGCAAATATTATTAAACAAATACAAACAAACTTGTTCACGATCTCTTAACAAATGAGCTGTTCAGACTCTGTTCGTTTATAAACCGAGCTCTAAATTATATATTTTTTTAATATTCATTTACTTTAATAAATGAACATAAACGAAAACTTACACAAACACAAATATAAACGAACATTCACCAAACACAAACACAAGTAATTTATCGAAAACTATCGCTAACCCCTACTTGCTTCTTTTTTGAAAGCAGCCCCTACTTACTTCTCACTAACCCCTACTTGCTTCTTTCAAATAACCCCTACTTGCTTCTTTTTTGAAAGCAACCCCTACTTACTTCTCGCTAACCCCTACTTACTTCTTTATTGAAAGCAACCCTACTTCTCGCTAACCCCTACTTGCTTCTTTTTTTGAAAGCAACTCCTACTTACTTCTCTGTTCAGTTATTGAATCCCATCATGACATCATTCTTCAATAATTGTTGCTTCTTCCTCATCTTATCCTTATCTTTCTTCCCAAATCTTATCCTTATCTTGATGAAGATAAATCTCAATATTTGAGGGTTTTTTTTTTTTTTTTTTGGTGTCAACCACACATTATGGTCCGGATCTTTCTTTGTCCGTGTAACGGTTCAGGTTCACCCGGTTCGCTCCGAGAGGCACAGAAGCTGACCCAAAAGGAATCATCACTTGTGAAAATCGAACTCGGGTTAAAATTACTTTTTATCATTTGATTATTCGATTATTTTTACATTTAATTCTTGATTATTGATTTTTACACATTTAAATTTATGACTTTTAAAATATTGTCACATTTGATCATTCAATTTAATTTTTAATTATCAGTAATTAAATTTGTATCATTATATTATTGATGGTGAGTAATCAAGCTATTTATTTTTAGTGATGATAAAATTAACATTTTTTTATTTTAAGTGATAACTAAAATAGATCATGTATGCAGGTACCAGGACTATGTGGTCCAATGGTATCCGGATTGGACTTCATTTGGAAGGTTGTGAGTTTGAGCCTCAGTGGAGGCGTTATTAGCTCTTTGTGTTTCAGTAGGTTAAGAAAGTATATGAACAGATACTACAATGTTATAGAGCTAGTAACATTCAAAAAAAAAAAAAAAATCATGTATGCAGGTGGACCAACCTGCTGCATGAATATCATCTTAATTGGAATCAGAATAAACCGACAAAGCCTAATTAAGATTTAAGAGCAAACCAAAATAGTACCGGAAATTGTTATTTAGTTTTATTTTGTATATACACTGCAGTTTTATTTCAACACAACAATAGTTTCATTTCAATTCAATTGCAGTAGCATTTGATAATATAATAAAAATAATACATGACACAGTGTCAATTTAGATACACTATAGTGCCCGTCGTTTTGGACCATGATCCACAAAACTTTGTGAACTGCGTTCCACAGTATAATTGCTATAGCTTTTTTAAGGCGACAAATATATTCTTGACCAGAAGAATTAACAAACCTCAGTCGCTGCTCCATATAAACATCTTCATACAAAGTCTCATTTAAAAATGCATTACTCCGTATATTATTGTCATCAACTTGGCGCAAACACCAAACCTTGGGATAAAGCAATATAAAGAATAATGCGAATGGTTATTGACTTGACCACAAGACTAACATTTCAAAATAATAACATCCCGATTCTTGTAAAAAAAAAAAAAAAAAAAAAAAAAAACCACTAAACAAGCTTTGAACAGATCAATAGAACTATCAGGTTTACGTTGAACAAAGGATGAGAAAAAAATAATTAAAAATTCACTGAAAAAATAGGCTTGATACCATACAAAAGATGAATACTTGTATTTTATTCATGATAAATACACAAATATTTATAGTTAAATATACTAATAGAGAAATGTAAAAATGATTCCAATATACAAATAAATACAGAAGTTTATTTCTTAAAACACACATTCAGACACATGCACAAGAACATATTGAAAGGAACATGCCTCCTTTCTTAGCCTTATTTTTAAAAGATCTATTCCTTAACACACACATACATTCTCCAAAACAAACACACAAACATACATCCATCCATACACACATACATTACATATATATACATACATACATACATACTCCGTATATAATAAAGTTGAAAGGGACATGCCCCTTCCTTAGTCTTATTTTTCAAGAGTAGTTATCACTTCATCACCCTAGTCTCCTTCAGTGCCCAAATGTCAAAAGTTACGGTTGATGTGGACTTCCCTTTTCTCCCAGTTGTTCTGTCTGGTCAGGATGAAACCCTTAAGATTGAAGATTTAACCTTTTGAAAAGTAAAATTACAGCTGACAGTCTAGATTCCCAGTTGGTTTTTCTTATCTTCTTTCTTTCAGTCACATCTCCTTTTTTGGATGAGTCAAAAGAAGACAGTCTTGATCCAAATGTTGAGCTGGCTTGCGTTAACTAGCTCGAACCTAGATCCAATTGTCTCTAGTGGTTCTTCAAATTTAATAGTGTTTAATTTGGTCCAATATTTTGGACCGAGAGAAGTCTGTATATTCCTCATTTATGCCTTCCAAGGAGGCATCTATCAGATGGAATGAAGGAATTTTATAATGTTTTGTTCAAAGTCTGGGTAAAGAGAAATTTAAATTGGGTTTTCAAAGACAAAAATGTCTCAAATGGTGTCTTTCTTGGGTTTTCAAAGACTAAAATGTCTCAAATGTTGTCTCAAGTGTAGTAAATGGTCTAAGACCATCCATTTGTTTGAATAGAGGAAGTGGATGAATTTTCAATTTTGTTCAAAAATTCTTAGTCTGTTTTTAATTTAACTGTTTAAAAAGTTCTTGATGTTTGACCACATAAGGAGAGATGATGAAATCATCTCCGAAGTATTTAACCGCGGATTTGATAGCCTCATCAATTTCATAGAATCCGTTGTATATGGGTAGTCCATATCTCGGATTTCGAAGTGTTTTAATTTCTTCTAGAAGAGGAATTATTTCTTCCCGTGTGTAGTATACTCCGGCCTTAGGACCCGTATACAGAACATAACAAGTGAATGGTTTCCCCCAAAAAAAGCTCTTTACAACATCATGAATGATTGCTGCTTTTTTAGCTTTTTCGTGGGGAAGAGTGGGCAAATTCCATAAATTGTCGATAATACATTGCTCCTCTTCTGTGAGATTTTCTCTCAGAAAAGTATTGAAATGGTCTTTTTCAGAAAATGTCTTTAATTTTGTTTTACCAAACCTGAATGTTTTTGCCATGATTTGATGTGTCAAATTTTCGAATTGAGATGTTTGGAATTTTCTGCAAAAGTAAAAAATATATTCATTATTTTCATAATAACAAAAAATCATGTTATCATTTAATCCTTTCATTATATATATATATATATATATATATATATATATATATATAAAATTCAAGTAAAAAATGCACCCGTATTTTGGGGCGCACCGGGAGCGCGTCGGCCAGTAGAGACCAGCGCCCCAACCGTCGGTCCCGTCCAGCTGACGTGATGCATGACACCTAGGCAGATGTGTCCTTGGCCTAACGGCTTTAGGCTCAATTTGCGTTCAAAGACTCGATAATTGTATTTATGACTAACTAAAGTATGAAATTGCAAATAATTATTGATGAGAAGATGAGATGAAGTGTATATGAATACCTGAAGTGGAAGGCTTCCAAGTCTGAAGTTTTGAATGAAATTTAAGTCCGAAGACTTTGAATCCCTCCCACCTCGTACGCCACGTTTAATATCATATTCTGTCTAAATTTACTGGAAACAAAGTTAACGTTAAAGTAAGGAATTTCTCTTTCAAACCTCAAAGCTTTTTTTTGTAACTCAAACTATGGTTGTGCCTTTGTGGGCGTATTATTGAAACTGAAATATATAAAGAGGTATGTTGTGCTTTCTATCATCCACGCGTCACATTACGATTGTGAGATATGACTCCACCCACTTGCTAGGGCCCTGTGTTTTCATTTTGACGTCATTGCTACGCCTACAATTGGCGTCGTTCTTCAATAATTGTTGCTTCTTCCTCATCCTTATCTTGATGAAGATAAATCCCAAAATATTTTGAGTTTTTTTTTTTCACTTTTTATAATATGATTATTAAATCATTTTTATATTTAATCTCTGATGGTTAATTTTTACATATTTGATCTCATAATTTTTAAAATATTATTATATTTGATTATCTAGTTTAATTTCTAATTATTCATAACCAAATTTGTATGACTATATTATTGACCATGAATACATAATAGTTAATTGTCAAGTAATTTATCTTGAATGATAAAATTGACATTTATCTATAATAATTTTCAATTAAAACATTTGGTCACATATGACTAGAAATTAAACATGAGGATCAAATGTAAAAACTAAAAGCAAAAAAATTACATACCCAATATTAACAACCATGTGATTCATACATCTTTATCCCATTGCATATCTTATTCTTTGCTTCGTCTTACAACTTCTCAAATATGAGTAATCTTATATGTGCTCGCATTTTCTACTTTTGTTTACTAATCATATCTCTATGATGTGTCATACTTTGTTTGCTTAATGTAAAAAGGATGCACAAAACTATACTATTAAGTATGCATAAGTGCACCACACAGTGTTTGAAAATGTACAATTAGATGTGCGCTTTATCCTATCCGCGCATCACTTTATGATTGTGGCAGTACAACCACGAATATGACCCGACCCAGTAGCTAGGGGCTTGTGTTTTCATTGGGACGCTTCAAAGTGGCCGGAAAAAGTAATACTTTTTTTTTTTTAGTTTGTCAACTTTTTTTTTTTTTTTCGTTTGGGTTTTTCTCCATCTTCTCTTCTATGTGGACCTAAAAATCACAAAAAATTCAACATTTTTTTTTGTGAGGACAAAAAATTCAACATTGATATGAATGATCTTACTCCTACCTTCAATTATTGAATCCAATCATGACATCATCTTCAATAATTGTTGCTTCATCCTTATCTTATCTTACGCGCGATGCGCGAAAACTTATGCCCAATATTAAAATATTTGTAAGTAACAAAATTTTAAAAATTAGTTAAAATTATGTTTTGCAATTTCTTAAAGTGATGATACTTTTGAATTATCATATATTTGAATAATATAGTGATCAGAAAAAATAAATTATATTTTTATATAATAATTTACAAATAATACTAAGCTAATACCCACATATATGATATATTGATATGGATACACAAATAATATACATACATATTATTTATATATATATATATATATATATATATATATATATATATATATATGATATACATATATAATTTAACATTCATATAAATATTTAATTAAAATATAATTTATAAATTAAATTAATTGTTATATGATAATTTTTTTTTTTAAAACAAGTTATATGATAATTTTAATAAAATGATAATTAAAAATAGGAAAAAGATATGATAGATGTAGGTGTATGGTAAGATTGGTAGATATATTAAAAACTAACGGTGTTATAACAGTGTAAGGGTGATTTGTCCAATGCAAATGAATGTACAACAATTAAAGCAAAATGTATATATTTATTAGCATAGAAAAAAGGGACAAAAATCAAGGACATAACTTGTAATGACACTTATTATATTTTTAGATATAGACTAGACTATATGATATATTATAATATTTGAGTTTTCTCTTTTTCTTTTTCGCTTTTTATAGTACGATTATTAAATTATTTTTATATTTAATATTTGATGATTAATTTTTAAATATTTAATCTTATGACTTTTTAATATTGTCACATTTGATCATAAATTTACTTTTCAATTATTGATGACCAAATTTGTATTGTTGTGTTATTGACCATGAGTGTATAATAGTCAAGTGATTTACCTTGAAAAACAAAATTGATATTTTCTATTATAATTTTCAACTAAAACATTTGGTCACTGGTTTTCGAAAATTAGGCATGAAGATGAAATGTAAAAATAAGTCCAATAATCATAGAACCAAAAGTGAAAAACATTACCCAATATTAACATCCATGTGATTCATACATCTTTATCCCCTTGCATATCTTCTTCTTGGCTTCATCTTATAACTTCTCAAAAATCAATAATTCTACATGTATTCACATTTCAGACTCTTCTCATGAATTCTAAAGATATAATTTCTAATATTTGTCAAATCAGAATAATTACTCAAAATAATTATCAAATCTTAATAATTACTCAAAAATAGTCCATCACTATATTTTTTTGTGATATATATTTTAGATTTTGGATTTGATTATAGAGAGAATTGAAAGAAAAATTGAGCGAGCCATGAGAAATACAAAAGAAACTTATTTAGATTATTATTATTATTTTTTCCTTATCCCCTTACAAGCTACATAAAAGCTACATAAAGGTTCCTTATATAGATAACCTCAAGAACAACATAATATTTAAATATTTTACAAAGCCATAAAGACTACATTAATTTTCACAAAGGTACTCTAGGCTACATTAATTTATTTTATTTTTACATGGATATTTCTAAAGAGAGATAGTACCTTCACTACCTTGTCTCATATCTTATCTTCTTCTGTTTCAGCTGTCCTTGATAAGCTTGAGTTGTTAACCCATATTGAATTTCTTGCAGATCTGGGCTTCTTAGTGTAATACAGTCTTGTAATAATTCATTTTGAGCCTTTTGAACTGCTTTGTAATACAATCTCGTGATAATTTAAGTCTTCTGAACTTCTTTGTAATACATTCTCAGTTGGCGATCTAGATTCCCAGTTGCTTTTCTCACCAGTTTTCATTATCAAAATTTAGCAAATCTTATCTTCTTTCTTTCACTCACATCTCCTTCTTTTGGATGATTCGAAAGAAGACGGTCTTGATCCAAATGCCGAGCTAGCTCGCCTTTGTAATTGTTTGCGGTATAAATTTACCAGCCGGGGTCTTGAATGTTCAACATTGAAAGGATAAAAGCATCGCGATGCAATGGTGGAATCGCAATAAATTTTTGCAAATCTATCCTCTCTCAGGAGTTTTTTAGTAGCAAATTTGTTTCCTGTCCATCCAAACTCATTGGCAATGATCTTAGCTCGAGCCAGATCCAATTGCGTCTGTAATGGTTCTTCAATTTTAATAGTGTTTGGTCCAATGTTTTGGACTGGGAAGTCTGTATATTCATCATCTATGCCTTTGAAGGAGGCATCTATCAGATGGAATGAAGGAATGTTTTGTTCAAAATCTGGGTAAAGAGACACAAATTTTAATTGGGTGTTTCTTTGGGTTTCAAGGACTAGTTGTTCTAATGTCTCAGCTAAAAATTCTGGGAAATGTTCTGAGAAATCAGGGATTGATGGTGGGAAGAAAATAGATTCAATTAATCCATATTGGATTAAAGTCTTAATGGTTACTGGGTAGTCTCTGAACTTGAAGGGCTTGAATGAAGGAATGAGAATATTTGCCTTTCTAATTGCAGAATCCAATTTACAGTAACACTGCCCTTCCTTGTTTTCTGGGCAATTCTCAAACTGCCTTGAACAAGTTTTGAAAGGGTTGTAAGAGAATTCAAATTCCCAGGAAGTGGAAATCCCTTGATGACTGTTAGTAACTTGGGATAGAAATTCTTGGAGAAGACAAAATGTCTGAAATGCTGTCTCATTCCCAGAAGGAGTATTTCCAGGAATGATAGTAGAAAGTTTTGGTTTTTCTAAAACCAAAACTCCTTTCCCCTTTGAAGAAGAAGTTTGTGGAGTTTCATGTTTCTCAGTTTTGACCAATAAAGGCTTCTCTTCTAAATTCCCCTTTTGAATAGAGGAAGAAGGTGTTAAAACAAGTGTACTACTGGATGAATTTCCAGTTTTCTTTAAATATTTGGCCACTCCAGAAGAGATTATGATATCTCCTTTGCATTTTTCAAATGCGAAGTCGATGGCTTTACCGATTTCATGGAATCCCTTATATGAGAATTGTTCATGTCTCGGAGATGTTTTAATTTCTTCACATGTTAAGTATACTCCCGCTTTGGGACCAGTATACAGAACATAAAAAGTGAATGGTTTCTTAGTCAAATGATTGTCCCCCATGAGAGTAGCTTACAAGAGCATTGATGCATGCTCCTTGATAGCATTTGCCTGGGGAGTAGTGGACAATTTTCTTGAATTGTCAATAATACATTGCTCCTCTTTTTGGAGTTTTTCCTTTAGAGGAGTTTTGAAGTGATAATTTTCAGGTGATGTCTTCAATTTTGTTTTGTCAAACCTGAATGTTTTTGCCATGATCCAATGTGTTTAGTCTTCCAATTGTGATAAATGTCTGAAATTTGATGTTTGAAGCTTCCTGCAAAGGTTAGAAACATAGTCGTCATTAGTATGGTTGCACTAGGTGCTAGGTGCTAATTAGACTGTACGGCTTAGGCGGCTAACAAAAGAAAAGCAGTGCATGTGTGAGGTCCAGTTAACTAGGCTAATTCGGCCGAATTCGTTGCCAACACGGCAGAGTTATTGTTAAGGCCAAGTTCGTCGCCAACACGGCGGAGTAAGGTGTCTAGACGGCCGCCTATGGGAGAAATCACTATAGCCTAAGGGTGTATAGTGGTGGCCTAGATTAATTTTACAACCCTGTTTGGTAAAAAATTAGCCTATAGGTCAATTTTGACTTATTTTATCACTATTAATTGTTTAATTTTGTTAAAATATCAATAGTTTTTTGCAACTTCAAAAGACTAAAAGTCAAAAAGTTACTCCAAACAATTTTTTCAATTAGTTTTTTGAAAAAAGAAATTACAGCTATCAGCTAACAGCTAATTTATCAAACACTATTTTACAATCAGCTAATGTTATCAACTATTTATACCTTCTAATTAACACAATCAACTAATAGCTAACCGCTATCATTTAACAATCATTTTACCAAACAGGGCCAACACTTATTATTAGCATGCACCATGCTTTGTATTTATGAGTGCTAACTAAAATATGAAATTGCAAATAAGTATTGATGTTTAGAAGATGAGATGAAGAGCATATGAATACTACCTGAAGTGGAAGGCTTCAAAGTCTGAAGTTTTGAATGAAATTTAAGTCCGAAGACTTTGAATCCCACCCACCTCGTACTCCCTCCTTAATATCATATTCGATCTAAATTTACTTGGAAGAAAAGTTGACGTTAAAGAAAGGAATTTCTCTTTCAAAACTCAAAGTTCTTTTTTGTAACTCAAACTATGGTTGTGCCTTTGTGGGTGTATTATTGAATCTGAAATAGAGTTAATTCCAGTAATGGTCCTCCGACTATATTAATTTTTCAAAATTAGTCCTTGACTTTTAATTTGGACACTTTAGGTCCTTTGACTTTCAATTTCTTTCCAATTGAGGTCCTTTCGTCAGAATACGGTTAATTGAGTTTTAAATGTAGGGGTAAACTCATCATTTCACCTGCCTATGTATTATTCTTAGTATTTCTCCATTTTATACGTGATATATATGAAGATAATCTTAGTCGAAACCCTAAAATGTTTCTCGTCGTTCCCCATTTGCTAACTACTCGTGTGTGCGTTCCTCTATTATTATGATGTTTACAAGGTATAACAGCGAAATACGAAGGGAGAAATACGAAGAATAATACATAGACATGTGAAAGGATGAGTTTACCCCTTCATTTAAAGTCTAATGAACCGTATTCTAACGAAAGGACCTCAATTGGAAAGAAATTGAAAGTCAAGGGACCTAAAGTGTCCAAATTAAAAGTCGGGGACTAATTTTGGAAAATCACTATAGTCGGAGGACCATTGCTGGAATTAACTCATCTGAAATATATAAAGAGGTATGTTGTGCTTTTTATCATCCACGCGTCACATTATGATTGTGAGATATGACTCCACCCACTTGCTAGGGCCCTATGTTTTCATTTTGGCGTATCGCTTACGCTTCATTCAATTATTGTATCTATCATGACGTCATTCTTCAATAATTGTTGCTTCTTCTCTTATCCTTATCTTGATTGATGAAGATAAATCTTTAATATTTGAGGTTTATTTTTCTTTTTTTCACTTTTATAATATGATATTGGCGTGGTTGTTCAACACCTCGTCCCTTAAGCATGAAATTGAGGGTTCAAGACGAAGATTAGTCCTTTAGCTATCGTTATGATGGTTAAATTTTACACATCTAATCCCATGATTTTATTCAAAAAAAAAATCCATAATTTTAAAAATATTATTACATTTGGTCATCCGACCAAATTTTCTATCATTGATAACCAAATTTGTATTGCTATGTTATTGACCATGAATGCATAATAGTCAAGTGATTTATCTTGAAGGATAAAATTGATATTTTCTTTGATAATTTTCGACTAAAACATTTAGTTATTGATGACCGAAAATTAGGCATGAGGATCAAATGTTAAAATGATCCTATAACCGTAGGACCAAAAGTGAAAAAATTACTTAGTAAGTTTTAAGATTTATGAACGATTTCAATTCAATAGTAGTATAAGAAGAGTAGTCCTCATAGGGAGTCCAAAATAATGAGGTAATAATTCAAGTGTCAAATGAAAGATAAGGAAGTCCTCAACAACTTTAATATTGAACATTTTGAGAGATTCCAGATGCATTCATACCAGAATATCAGAACATTCAATTCGGACACGTCCTGAGGAATTTGTCTTGCAACAAGTTGATAGTGTTTTGATCATATCTCCTTAATATGAAGTCCAATCAAGGTGATTCAAGTGACTATGAAATGCTAAGAGAGTGTCCTACAACTTTTATGTTCAAAGTTTTTTCATATTCGAAACAAAAGATTACCAAACTTGATTGCCTAGTTGTATTTCCAGTTTGTTTGGTGATTTAATATAAATTCAGTTCTTTGGTTTTAAGGAAAAAAAAAATCCAAAAATTAGACTATGTTTAAACTTTCAAATATGGAATAATCAAATCATTCAAATGTGGCTGTCCAAAGTCGGAGTTGGAGTAGGGAGGGGAGTATGATTGGTTGAAGCAAATCCTAAGGCTCAATTTTGCTCTCAACTGTCTAACACTTCTCAATATTCATTCATCTAATATTATATTACATCTATACAAAACTAAAAAAAAAAAAAAAAAAAAAAAAAAAACCCAATGAAGAATCCAAAATTAAAAATTTTAAACTCCCAAAAAAGAAATTGTGAAAATACATGTAATATTATAGTTTTTAATTGTGAGTTTAATGAAACTATCTACCACTAACTTGTTCAAAAACTCTCAAGTCAAAGTTGGACTTTGGACAGTAAACTTCTTTGATATACAAGAACATAAAAAGAAGAAAGCCTGAATTTTCATGTTTTAGGAATTTAAGAAACGTATCCAACTCACCATATTTAATTAATATGACTCCAAGTCCACCCAATTCTAACAACGTGGAACTTTGTTGTTCACATTAAGCAATACAATAATATAATAGATGAGAGCAGCAAGATCCTCACCATCTTATTATTATTAGCTGAAAATGGTGGTGCACCACCCTATTCATCATGCCTTCTTCTTCTTCTTCATGCTCCTCCTTTTCTCCTTCCCAAATTATTCACAATCTTTAACCACTTATGGGGAGGATGAAAGGGCTATTTTACTTATCCTAAAACAACACTGGGGGTATCCATTTTCACTATTTGAGCAGTGGAACTCCACTTCCTCCCCATGTGACTGGCCTGGAATTTCATGCAACTCCAATGGAAGTGTCACACGGATATCTCTCTCCGAAATGATCATGGGAGGATCATTCCCTGCCTCAGCTATTATATGCCAGCTCAACAACCTTGTTTCAATCAATTTCAGTTCCAATAGTCTTTGGGGAACTATACCAGCTAACCTATCCAGCTGCTCAAAGCTTGAAACCTTAGATCTATCCATAAATGATTTGACAGGAAAAATAGCAGGTGAGTTTTTTTCCATGAAAACCCTGCGTAGTTTAAATCTTCGAGGCAACATGTTGTTCGGTGAGATACCGACACCCATGGTGGCTTATAGTTTGGAGTCTCTTGATGTTTCAAGTAACGATTTGAATGGATCTATACCAGATGATATAGGAAATTTTTACAACCTTAGCTACTTAAATTTGTCCATGAATTCTTTGAGTGGTCCAATACCTGCTACATTGCTGCGGTTGCATCAACTCTCTCATCTTTCACTTGCCTCTAACAATTTGACTGGTGAAATTCCTGCTAGATTATTTGACTTACTTAGTCTGAGTAACATAGATATTTCTCATAATCATCTGAGTGGAAGTATTCCAAGAGGCTTTGGAGAACTACATCAATTGAAGAATATTGATGAATCATACAACAAATTTTCCGGAGAAAAAAGCGAAACTGTTAGCCATATGTGGGATGCGAGACTAACCCTTGCAACAATTGTAACTTGTGTCGTGATTGTAGCGGCAGCAGTAGTCATCATTGGGATAGGAATTCTGGTGTTCAGACCTAGGGTTGGAAGGAGAAAACTCAGAAAAGAAAGTGATGGAGAAGAATGGAGTATGATTTCATTTCAAAGGTTGGGATTCAATAAATGGGATATTTTGGGTGGTTTGATTGATGAAAATTTGATTGGAAATGGAGGGTCAGGGAAAGTATATGGAGTGATCACCAAGAAAGGCCAAAAAGTTGCTGTTAAAAGTATAAGGCATGAACAAAAGCAAGGGCAGGGATTACTGGAGAAACAGTTCCTAGCAGAGGTTAAGATCCTCGGGGGAATTTGGCACAACAACATAGTGAAATTGTTATGTTGCATCAGAGGAAAGACAACAAAGCTTGTTGTGTATGAATACATGGACAAACAATGCCTTCATAAATGGTTGCATGGAAAGAAGAGGGGCTTAACTACTCAAATCTTGCAGTGGGAGAGGAGGCTAAGAATTGCCATTGGAGCTTCACAAGGGCTTTGCTATATGCATCACAGTTGCAATCCACCCATTATTCATAGAGATATCAAGTCTAGTAACATACTCGTTGACTCTGACTTCAATGCGAAGATTGCAGACTTTGGACTGGCAAAGATGATGAAGAGTGAAGGAGATCCAGAAACAGCATCTGCTATTGTGGGAACCTTTGGTTACATTGCCCCGGGTACATTTTTTTTTATATCTTTATCATTTCAATTCCCACTGTTTTTTATACTTGCAGAATCACATATATATCATGGGAATGCAGAATACAGCAGTACAAGAAAAGTGGACGCGAAGAGCGACATCTACAGCTTTGGCGTAGTTCTCTTGGAATTGACAACGGGAAGAGAAGCAGTGACTAGAAATGAGGATATAAACCTGGCACAATGGGCACACAAACACCAAAGAGAAGGGAACTCGGCTGCAAATGCCCTAGATGAGGAGATCAAGGACCCACGGTATCTGGAGGCAATGATCGCTGTTTTCAAATTAGGCCTTGCATGCACTTTGAATTCCCCATCAAGCAGACCGTCCATGAAAGATATTTCACAGATTCTTCAAAAATACAGCAAAAACAATCATCTGTCTCTAGAGAGCCAATAGACAATATAATATTTCCACTTTACTTTTGAATGGACTTGTCCCATTACAAAATATTTTGCAATGGTTTGTTTAATTTAATCATACACAGGAAACAGGCAACTTAAACATTAAAGAAATTAATGAAGCATGTTGACCTGTTCACAGCCCTTGCTTGCGTCTTCAAGCTCGTACAATGAATTATATATCCCATGATTGCATCAAGATATCAACTCTAGCAACATACTCTTAAAGTCCTAGAGTCTGAATTCAATACTAAGATTGCAGACGACTTTGGACTAACAAATATGCCAGCAATTGAAGCAAATCCAAAAACATGCTTGTGTGGGAACCTTTGGATACATTGTTCCAAGTATGTTTTTCATATCTTCAATTAACACTTAAATTTTTTTTTTTTGATGTGTTTTACACCTAGTAGAATCACATGCATAGCACTATACTGCAGAGTGTAGCAGCACAAGAAAAGTGAATGTGGATATCAACATCAATCTACAGCTTTGGCAATAGCATTCTTGAAATTTGCAACTAGAAGAGAAGTTGAGAATGTAGATGAGGAGATGAACCTAGCAAAATGAGCATACAAATACTAAATATAAAGAAACTTAGCTATAAATACCCTAGATGAGGAGATAAGGATCCACCTTATTTGGAGGTCGTGACCTCCATTTTTAAATTAGCCCCCACATGCATGTACTTTGAGCTCTTCTTCAAATAAGTCATCCATGTAAGATATATTATAGATTCTTCAAAGATGCCAATAATTTCTTTTTCTTGATTGGTCTCTCCATATATAAATTAAGTCCTTCCAATAATTATATAGAATTTCACCCAAAACATATTTCACACAACAAACCCAAACAAATGTCACTCCGTGTTAGAAATCAAGCCAAACTCTCAAGTTCTAAAGAAAAAAAAAAAAGGAAGAAAAATAAATAAAAGAAAACAGATAATTAAAATAAACAACAAACATGTACTTAACTCATTTCTATCTATTCTGGTCCACTTATTTAACACCCAAATTAACAGTATTAAAATTGAAATTTGGGTCACATTAAGCAATAGACCAATTAAGTCATCCTAAAATGCTCCTCACAATCTTTATATATATGGATCATCCATGCATTTTGGTTTTAAGTCTTTTTAGCTTAATTAATTGTTTGAAAATGCTGCAGCTGAGCCTCTTCACCATGCCTTATATTCTTCTTCCTCCATTTCTCCTTGCCAAATTCACATTCTTCAACCACTGAAAGGGCTATTTCACTTGGCCTAAAACTAGGACTATGGAAAGATAGAGAAACCCATAATATACTTGCAGAAACAAAAGATGAAGCCTAATTACACTAGTTTTTACTACAATGTTTTTTTCTCTATTTCTATCTGCAATTAGTCTCTGTTTTTCTTCTTCCATTTGTGTTGCTCATCTTCTTTACTGCTCCATGTTCACCAGTTTCTCTCCCTGGGCATTTCAGGGACTCGCAGCAGCTATTGTCATTCAAAGCTAGTATTTTTAACCAAACACCATTTCAAAACTGGCATTACATGCAAAGGATCAAGGGTCTATTCTATAAATCTCACAAACACTATGCTCAGCATAGATTTTGGGTTGGTTTCTTCTTTCTTGCACAATCTTGAAAACTTGGAGAGTCTTGTGTTGAAGAACACCAATCTCAGCGGAAATATTCCAGAATTGAGTTTCAAAATTTTGTCATATTTGGACCTTTCTGCCAACAATTTTTCTGAAAAATTTCCTTCATTTCAAGGCTGCACTAGTTTACAACATCTTGATTTATCATCAAACAGCTTCAGTGGTAATATTGGTGCCTCCCTTTCTTCATGCTCCAACCTCAGTTTCCTCAATCTCACCAACAATAAGTTTAGGGGTGGTGTTGCTAAGCTGCCTAGTGGGAGCGAGTTTCCAGTATTTGTACCTAGGGGGAAATGATTTTCAGGGGGAGCTTCCCGGGCATATTGGAGATTTATGTACAACTCTTGTGGACTTGGACTTGAGTTCTAATAATGTCTCTGGTTTGATACCCTCTGGGATTTGTAAAGACCCTAAGAATAGCTTGAAAGTGTTGTACCTTCAGAACAACATGTTCACTGGTCCAATACCTGAGAGTCTTAAGTAACTGTTCCCAATTGGAACCTCTTGATCTTAGTTTTAATTACCTTTGGACGGCCGCCTCCTTTGAATATACAAGAACATAATAAGAAAAAAGTCGGATTTTCATGTATGTTTAATTAAAACTCAGTTTGAATTGTTCCAGGCCGGTCTAAATATTTGACACCTAAATTAAAAGTACCCAAAGTGAATTTTAGTGTAGATATGGACTGGGCAGATGGAGTTGCTAAATACTATTATATTTAGGATAATCCAAAATTTAGTTCAGATATGATTAACTCCAAGTCCAAGTCCAAGTCAACAACAATAGACCAAGTCAGGCTCTTTCAGTAGTAAAGGAAGTGAGTGATGAGCAGCAAGCAATATAATAGAATAGGAAGACCAATTCAGCGAAGCTAAGGATCCTAATTCTCATCACCATTATATTACATTAAGAGCTTAGAAGCATATCTGGTCTTATTAATTAGCTTATAATTATTTGAAAATGCTGTATCCTCATCATCATGCCTTGATGTTCTTCATCATCCTCCTTTTCTCCTCCCTAAATTATTCACAATCTTTAACCACTCATGGTGATGATGAAAGGGGTATTTTACTTCGCCTAAAACAACACTACTGGGGAAATCCATCTTCACTTGAGCAGTGGAACTCCACTTCCTCCCCATGTGACTGGCCTGGAATTTCATGCAACTTCAATGCAAGTGTCACACGGATATCTCTCACTGGAATGAACATCCGAGGATCATTCCCGGCCTCAACTATTATATGCCAGCTCAACAAACTTGTTTCAATCAATTTCAGTAACAATAGTCTCTTTGGAACTATACCAGCTAACCTCTCCAGCTGCTCAAAGCTTGAAGAGTTGGATCTATCTGCAAATTATTTGTCAGGAAATATACCAGGAGATTTATGTACAACTCTTGTGGAATTGGACTTGTCTTCCAACGGATTAGTAGGTGCGGTTCCTGAGACCCTTGGTGATTGCTCAACCTTGGAACTTCTAGATCTATCCAACAATAGATTCTCTGGTAAGTTGCCTGTTGAAACCCTACTAAATTTGACTAGCTTGAAGATACTGGTTTTATCATTCAATAATTTCGTTGGAGGCTTGTCTGAGTCATTGTCTAGCATGGTAAACTTAGAGACCTTAGATTTGAGTTCTAATAACATCTCTGGTTTGATACCCTCTGGGATTTGTAAAGACCCTAAGAATAGCTTGAAAGTGTTGTACCTTCAAAAGAACCTGTTTACTGGTCCAATACCTGAGAGTCTAAGTAACTGTTCTCAATTGGAATCTCTTGATCTTAGCGTTAATTACGTTAATGGGATTTTACCATCTAGCCTCGGGTCCTTGTTGAAGCTCAAGGATTTGATGATTTGGTTGAATGAGCTTGAGGGGGAAATCCCATTGGAGTTGAGGTACTTGCAGTCTTTGGAAAGACTGCTTCTTGCTTTCAATGGCTTGTCAGGGTCAATCCCTGAAAGTCTCAGCAACTGTACTAATTTGAAATTCATTTCTTTGTTGGATAATTTGTTGAGTGGTGCTATACCAGCTTCATTAGGGCTCTTGTCTAATCTAACTATTCTGGAGCTGGCAAAAAACTCCCTCTCTGGGAGCATTCCTGTAGAGTTGGGGAATTGCAGCAGCTTGTTATGGTTGGATATGAACACCAATTTCTTGAATGGGTCTATTCCCCCTGCTCTGTTCAAACAATTTGGCAATATTGCAATATTACATGTGAAGCAATTTAGGTTTATTTGGTATGATGGAAGTGAATATTGTCAAAGTACAAGTTTTTTCGAATTTGATGGGATTACAGAGGATCGCCTGGACAGGATTTTAACCAGGAACCCCTGCAACGGTACTAAACATTACAAGTACAGTGTTTCAATACCAATATTTCACCACAATGGATCCATGATTTTCCTTGACCTTTCATACAATAAGTTGGAAGGCAGTATTCCAAAGGAATTAGGTTCCATGCAGTATCTCAATATTCTGAATTTAGGGCATAATCATCTCTCTGGTCCAATACCTCAAGAACTTGGAGGCTTGGAGTATGTTGAAAGCCTTTATCTATCATACAACCGACTCAATGGCTCAATTCCACAAACTTTGACCAATCTCATATTTCTTACGGGTATTGATCTGTCTAATAACCAACTTTCTGGAGCGATACCTTGTGCAGCTCAATTTTTATTAATTCCTGAAAAATCATTTGCCAATAATTCTGGCCTTTATGATTGCCATCATCCTCATTATGGCCAAGAATCAAGTCCAAGTTCAATTTCAAAGTCTAGTAGATCAAAGAAAAAGCAATACATCATTATAGGTTGTGGTGTAATTGCAGGGGTACTTATTTGGTTAGTAACTCAGTTACTCGTGATCAGACTTGCAGGGAAAGGGAGAATGGAAAATGATGGAGAAGAATGGAGTATGGTTTCATTTCAAAGATTGGGATTCAATAAATGGGATATTTTGGGTGGTTTGACAGATCAAAATTTGGTTGGAAATGGAGGGTCAGGAAAAGTATATAGAGTGATCACAAAGAAAGGCAAAAAAGTTGCTGTAAAAAGTATAAGGCATGAACGAAACGAAGGCCACATTTTGGAGAAGCAGTTTACAGCAGAGGTTCAGATCCTTGGAAAAATTTGGCACAACAACATAGTGAAATTGTTATGCTGCATCAGAGGAAAGACAACAAAGCTTATTGTGTACGAATACATGGACAAAAATTGTCTTCATAAATGGTTGCATGGAAAGAAGAAAGGCTTAAGTACACAAGTCTTGCACTGGGAGACAAGGCTAAAAGTTGCCATTGGAGCTGCACAAGGCCTCTGCTATATGCATCACAATTGCAATCCACCCATTGTTCATCGAGATATCAAGTCCAGTAACATACTCATGGACTCCGACTTCAACGCCAAGATTGCAGACTTTGGACTAGCAAAGATGCTAGCGAGTGAAGGAGATCCAGAAACAGCATCCGCTATTGTGGGAACTTTTGGTTACATTGCCCCAGGTATGTTTTTTTTTTTTATCTTCAACACTTCAATTCCTGCAATGCTTTATTGTCGTAGAATCACATATTTATAGTACGGGAATGCAGAATACGGCAGAACAAGAAAAGTGGATGCGAAGAGTGACATCTACAGTTTCGGTGTAGTACTCTTGGAATTGACAACTGGAAGGGAAGCAGTGACTGGAAATGAGGATATGAACCTGGCACAATGGGCACACAAACACCAAAGAGAAGGAAACTCATTGTAGATGCCCTGTATGAGGAGATCAAGGATCCATGTTACCTGGAAGCAGCGACCATCGTTTTCAAATTAGGCCTTGCGTGTACTTTGAGTTCTCCTACAAATAGGCCATCCATGAAAGATGTTTTGCAGATTCTTCAAGGATGCAACAATGCCTTTGAGAGAGCTATTCCGAATGGAGCGACGAAAACTCAAATCAATAGTGAGAACAACCATTTGTCTTCAAGGAGTGGATAGACAATATTTCCCTTTTTCCTTTAGAATGGACTTATCCCATTGCAAAATCCTATGTTTAATGTGACTTTTGTACTTAATGGCCAATTTGATTTTCCTCCTAAGTATTACGTTTTCCTCATAAATAATAATCAATTAACTTATCCTGAATTAGTATTATACTTTTTATCATAGTACTCTTCAACCCCTAAATATAATCAAATATAATGCAACTCCAGTTTGTTTCCTTGATTTTCTTAGATGTTAAGAGAAAGATAAACTTTCTGGTGCACATTAGTAATTATATTGGAGTTCCAAAATTAATAATATTCACAGGAATTGAAACAGGCAACTTAAGCAGTGGAGGAATTAATGAAGCATGTTTACCTGTTCACAGCCAGCTCGTACGATCATGCCCTCATCTCAAACCTCTTCTACACATTGCTGCTGTGACAACTCCGGGAGTAGGTGGTGATCATGTTCCACCTCCGGCACCGGTTCCGGCGACTGTACCACCTCCTCCGTCACCACCAATTTCAGTAACTCAGACTGCAGCAGCTGCTAATTGGCCAGAAATCCTTAAAAAGTGTATTGGATGCGATTGGGTATTACTCGGAGTTGGCAGTAATTTGTATGAGTGGAGGGAGTAGTAAAGGAAATGGTTTGGGCAACCACTTGGTGGGAGAATTTGAAAAGATATTACTCCGTATTTGTTTGTTTTTTTTTTAATTGTAATTTAGGACAAATTAAGATGAATTATGTAATGGGGCAGGATGATATTAGAGCAATCTTAGTAGGTGAGGTTTTTTTAGGGAAAAAAGACTGAAACGTGAAGGGAGATGTAAGCATTTCTCAAAATGTGTCTCTCATTTTTTGTGGACAAAAACATGAAAAGGACGTTTGAGATATGCGTTTGATGTCAAGTCAAACACAAACGCATCTCCCACTTGCGTTTGTATGTTTTTTTTTTTTTTAAAAATTAATTTGATCGCCGACACTTCTCCGCCGACGACACCGGTCACTGATTTCTAAAGCGAAAGAGGTGGCCTTCTCCATCGCTGGAGAAGCCGGCGACCAAACTGGTGTCGTCGGCTTCTCCAGGAGAAGGCCACTGGTTGCCTTCTCCTTTGCTGGAGAAGCCAGCGACTAAACTGGTGTAGCTGGCTTCTCCAGAGAAGGAGAAGGCCACCTCCTTTGCTGGAGAAATCGGTAACCGGTGTCGCCGGCGAAAAAGTGTCTGCGGCCAAATTATAAAAAAAAAAAAAAAAAAAAAAACAAACAAACACAAGTGGGAGATGCATTTGTGTTTGACCAATTCTGACATCAAATGCGTCTTCCAAACGTCCATTTCATATTTTTGTCCACAAAAAAGTAGAGACACATTTTGGGGAATGAATGCATCTCCCTTCATATTTCAGTCTTCTTTTCGAGATTTTTATGGAGATTTTTAACAATTAAGAGACTACAAAATAATGTTTGCATAAAAATTTTCATAATATATATAGGTAGTAATTGTATTTTATACTGGAAAAAAATTGTGTTTTTTTTTTTATTTTTATATTGTTAAGAAATAAAAAATATATATGATATGGTAAAAATTTGATGCTTATATGTTTTGGTCGTTCAATGAATTTAGATAACACTACTAGTCCACCCAACAACGTAGCTTTGTTGTGCACATTAAGCAATACAATAGAGCAATGAATGTAGACAACACTGACATTGACTTTGACTCCATCCAAGTCTACCCAACAACTTGGTTGTTCACATTAAGCAATAGAACTGAGCAATATGATGATCCTCCTCACTCAGTCCTCACCATCATTTCATTTTAAATTAAAAAGCATGCATGCATTTTGGTATTCACTCTCATCTTATATTATTAATTATAATTATTCGCTTAATTAATTAATTGTTTGAAATGCTGCAGCACCCTATTCATCATGCCTCCTTATTCTTCTTCTTCATCATCCTCCTTTTCTCCTTCTCAAATAATTATTCCCAATCTTTAACCACTCATGATGAAAGAGCGATTTTACTTAGCCTAAAACGACACTAGGGGAATCCATCTTCACTTCACTACTGGAACTCCACTTCCTTCCCATGCGATAACTGGCCTTTTATTTCATGCAACTTCAATGGAAGTGTCACACGGATATATTTCTCCGGAATGAACCTCCAAGGATCATTCCCCTCAAAAATTATATGCCACCTCAACAGTCTTTCTTCAATCTATCTCAGTATGAATAATCTCGGGGGAACTATTTCAGTTGGCCTCTCCACTTGCTCAAAGCTTGAAGAGTTGGATCTATCTGCAAATTATTTCACAGGAAAAATACCAGGTGAGTTATTTTTTATGAAAAGGTTGCGTAGATTAAATCTTCAAAACAACATGTTGTCCGGTGAGATACCAATACCCATGGTGGCTTACAGTTTGGAGAATCTTGATCTTTCAAGTAATTCTTTGAGTGGATCAATACCAGAAGATATAGGAAATTTATACAACCTTGTCCACTTAGATTTGTCAATGAATTCTTTTCATGGTTCAATACCTGCAACATTGATACAGTTGCATAAACTGTTTAGTCTTTCACTTGCCTCTAACTATTTGACTGGTCATATACCGGGAAAACTGGAATTATTTAGTTTGAATGCCTTAGATCTTTCTCATAATCATCTAAGTGGAACTATTCCAAAAGATTTTGGAGAATTACTGCAACTGGGGGCTACACCGACCCTTGATATTTGTTTCAACAACATTTCTGGGAGAATCCCTTACAAGCTAGTGAAGGAAAGATTTGAACACAGCTGCTTTGATGAAGCCAATTTATGTTCAGATGTAAAGGAAAAGGGATTGCCAACATGCTCTACAGACTGGTGTTCTGATGATACAATTCGAGGTTACATGGACTGCAGTTCCAAGCCTAGTAAGTCAAAGAAAAAGAGAAATTACATCATCATAACTTGTGGTGCAATTGCAGGAATACTTATTGGGTTAGGAATTCTGATACTGGTGTTCAGACATAGGGTGGGAAGGATGAGAAAGGAACGTGATGGAGAAGAATGGAGTATAATTTCATTTCAAAGGTTGAAATTCAATAAATGGGATATTTTGGGCTGTTTGATAGATGACAATTTGATTGGAAATGGAGGGTCAGGAAGAGTATATAGAGTGATCACCAAGAAAGGCCAAAAGGTTGCTGTCAAAAGTATAAGGCATGAACAAAAGCAAGGGCAGGGGTTAATGGAGAAACAGTTCCTAGCAGAGGTTAAGATCCTCGGGGGAATTTGGCACAACAACATAGTGAAATTGTTATGTTGCATCAGAGGAAAGACTACAAAGCTTCTTGTGTATGAATACATGGACAAACAATGCCTCCATAAATGGTTGCATGGAAAGAAGAAAGGCTTAACTACTCAAGTCTTGAACTGGGAGGCAAGGCTAAAAATTGCCGTTGGAGCTTCACAAGGCCTCTGCTATTTGCATCACAATTGCAGTTCACCCATTGTTCATCGAGATATCAAGTCCAGTAACATATTGGTGGACTCTGACTTCAATGTCAAGATTGCAGACTTTGGACTGGCAAAGATGATGGCGAGTGAAGGAGATCCAGAAACAGCATCTGCTATTGTGGGAACCTTTGGTTACATTGCGCCTGGTACGTTTTTTTTATACCTTCATCATTTCAATTCCCACTTATTTTTATACATGCAGAATCACATATATCATGGGAATGCAGAATACGGCAGTACAAGAAAAGTGGATGCGAAGAGCGACATATACAGCTTTGGCGTAGTACTCTTAGAATTGACAACTGGAAGAGAAGCCGTGATTGCAAATGAGGATATTAACTTGGCACAATGGGCACACAAACACCAAAGAGAAGGAAACGCAATTGCAGATGCTCTAGATGAGGAGATGAAGGACCCATGTTATCTTGAGGCAATGATCACTGTTTTCAAATTAGGCCTTACATGCACTTTGAATTCCCCATCAAGCAGGCCGTCCATGAAAGATATATCACAGATTCTTCAAAGATGCAGCGAAACCAATCATATGTCCCCAGGGAGCTGATAGACAATATAAATATTTTCACTTTACTTTTGAATGGACTTGTACCATTACGAAATGTTGGGTTATTTAATGTGACTTTTGTACCCACAGGACAATATTTTTACTTGTTTATTGTTTTTCTTCTTACTTACTCGGTCTTGAAAACTTGGAGAGTCTGGTGTTGAACCTTTTTGCCAATAATTTTTAGAATAAGGGTCAAATAAGCCACTGAACTGTATACCAAGTTGCAATTAGGCCATCGAACCCAAAAAAAGTATAATTGGGTCCCTGAACTACACAAATTCATACAATTAGGTCTAAAATGACCTGTTTACCTAATACTTTACTGACTTGGAGGTTGCCGATTTTAAAAATTATTTTTAAAAAATAATTTTAAACAAAAAATTAATTAAAATTATTTTAAAAAAAAAAAAAAACGGCCGGAGACAAAATCGTCTCCGGCCGTCCTTCGTCTCCATGGCAGGAGACGAAAAACTTCGTCTCCAGCCATGGAGACGATCTTCGTCTCCTGCCATGGAGACGGAGACCTTAGTCTCCATGGCCTGGAGACGAGGACCTTCGTCTCCATGGCTGGAGACCTTCGTCCCCTGCCATGGAGATGGAGACGAAGGAACGGCCGGAGACGATTTCGTCTCCGGCCGTTCTGTATTTTTTTTTTTTTGTTTAAAATTATTTTAAAAAATCTCAACCTACATAGCAGGTAAACAGGTCATTTTTGACCTAATTGTATAAATTTGTGTAGTTCAGGGACCTAATTGCATCTTTTTTGAGTTTGATGGCCTAATTGTAGTTTGATGTGCAGTTCAGTGGCCTATTTGACCCTTATTCCTAATTTTTATGAAAAATTCCCTTTCATTTAAAGACTAGTCTAGTTTACAACATATTCATTTATGATTAATTATCATCAAACAGCTTCAGTGCTCCCTTTCTTCATGCTACAAGCTCATTTTCCTCAATCTCTCCAACAATATATTTGGGGGTGGTGTTTCAAAGTTGCCTAGTGGGAATTTGCAGTAGTTGTACCTAGGGGGAAATGATTTTCAGGGGGAGCTTCCAGGGTATTGGAGGGTTATGTACAACTCTTTTGGAATTGGACTTGTCTTCTAACAACTTTTCAGGCATGGTACCTAGACCCTTAATTGGTGATTGCTCAGTCATGGTCAACATAATACATGATAATTTTATTAAATATGATACATTAATTGACATTTAATATAAAACAATGTTATTTTGAATTATAATCCATCATTCAAGATGACCTTGGTCCACAATATAATTTTCCAGTAAAATCAGACATAATAGAAATATCAATGTTATTGAAATTATTAATGCAAATAATTATGAAAGCAAGAAATCAAGTTCTGTTTTTTTTTTTTTTTTTTTTAAGAGTAAATTATGGCGATGGCTTGGAGAAATAAAGAGTTGTTCACCCAGCAACATGCTCTCACCACTCACCAACCTGATTTAGTTTCAATTTTCAAACCAAGAATTCGCACAAGACAGATCGTAATCAAAGGTGGTCTCCGGCTATGGAGACGAAGCTGGCTAGAGGCGAAAACGGTCGGTCTGTTTTAGTTTTTTTTTTTTAATTAATTATTTTATGTAAAAAAAATTAAAATATTATTTTTAAAATTAGTAACCGTCACTTCAGGTAAACAGGTTATTTTGGATCTAATTGCATGATTTTGTGATGTTCAGGGACCTTATTTCATTATTTTTAATTTGAGTTTGATAGCCTAATTACATTTTGGTGTACAGTTGAATTGTCTAATTATATTTTGGTGTGCAGTTGAGTGGCCTATTTGACCATGTCATTAATAAACACATCAACTTAAATTGCTAAACATAAAAAATCAGACTTTGATTTTAATTTTGAAATATGGAATCAAATGAGGCAGCTGAGTTGGACTAGGGAGGAGTATGATTGATTGAAGCAAATCATAAGGCTCAATTTTCCCTCAACTGGCTAACACTTCTTCATATATATTCTCAATTGTTGTACTGCTCCAAATTCTCTTGGAATAGTTGCACTAAGATAATAATGACTATTGAGAAAGGTTTAAGAGCAATCTCAATAGTATTGGTTTTTTGTGTAATTTTTACAAACTACACGCGAGATCGTCAAATCTGTGTCATTACCCACTCTCAGGACATCGTCACCGTGATATTCCTCGGACTGTGAGACCACGCCGGAATCCGGAGTCGCGTGCATGGAAGCTCCCGTGTCCGGCAGCCAAGACGTCACTGCCGGCATCGCACCTCCGTCTCCAGCGACTGCCACATGCGCCTGGGATGGTGGCGGTTCGGAGTACCTCCTATAGTAGTAAGCAGCGGAGTGTCCTTGCGACCTGCAGATCTGACAACGTAGACCGCCGCTCCGACCACATCCGCCGCGACCTCCTCGCTGGTTGCCGACGCGACCCCGACCACGGCCGCCACTGCTCTGTTGTCGTCCACCTCGGCCGGCATACAACGCCGAGGGAACACCACTCGTCGTCGCCGGTTGATATGCCGGGAAGTCATCCGCATGGATGAACTGCTACGCCTGCAAATAATCTGCCAGCTGCGGGATCGTCACCGGCGTATCGGTGACCGCCAGGGAGGCTGCCATAGACCGGAACTCCGGCCGCAGCCCCCGGAAGACATAGAGGTTCTGCTCCGTTAATGTCAGCGATCGCCTGGCGAGCGCTAGATCCTCGACCAAATGCTGGGCACGCCCTAGATACTCCGGTGTAGAGCTATATCCCTGTCGAAGTGATTGGAACTGCCCCATGAGGTTGAGGCAGCGGACATGCGAAGAAGAGGCGAGCGTCGTCTCCGCCGCGAGCCACACCGCACGAGAAGTCGTCTGTCCAAGCGTGAGGTACATCACCTCCTCCGAGATCGACGAGATGAGCAAGGATAGGATGGAAGCATCCTGCTCAATCCATGCTTCGTACGTCGGATTCGGTGTGACGGAGGCAACGTCGTCTGACTGCTCACCGGCGGGGAGTTCGATCACCGGAGATGGACACGACTGAGAGCCATCAATGAAGCCGAGCAGCCTCTGTCCACGCAAAAAAAGGTATAATTTGTGTTCTCCAGTATAGGTAGTTCCGATGGGTGAGTTTTAGTGACACAAAGTGGTGTGCACTAGGAAGGGAATTTGGGATAGTGGTGGTCGTGAGTGTACGCTCGGAACTCTGAGACATTGTCGAACGAGAAGAAGAGAGAGAAAAGGATCCGATGGGTGAGTTTTAGTGACACAAAGTGGTGTGCACTAGGAAGGGAATTTGGGATAGTGGTGGTCGTGAGTGTACGCTCGGAACTCTGAGACATTGTCGAACGAGAAGAAGAGAGAGAAAAGGAAAAAACAATCGGGGGATTCCTACTAGCTAACTGATATAAGATGAGAATGGAAGCGATAATTCATTCAATTACAGAATTGTGATTACATTAATACACTCAGAGAGAGAGAGCTATCTAATAGGCTAGAGACTATATCACTAACAGAATATTCCACAATTAAATACATATTAATAACATAGTCTAATAATTAGGAGAGAGAGGAAGAGAGAAAAGAAAGAAAGAAAAAAAAAAAAAGATTTACACGCCTAGCTAGGCGCGACAGTGCAGCCCACGCACGACTGCACCATAGTTGCTTTTATTTACCCTACTTAGTGGATCCCACAAAAAAAACTATTATTTGCAAGAAAAAAACTTTTAAAAAAATCCACTCTTATTAGCCTAAAAATCCACCTCAAGTATTTTTAGTTTGCAAAAAATCTCAAAAACCACTAACAGTGTTGGACTAAATGGCTATTATTAGGACTCTTTATTTGTAGTAGACTAGGATTCTATTCCTGTACATGTCAAACTAGGATTCTTAATTCACTGTTCTGGCGCCCAGCAAAAAATGGAAAATAGATAAAGGAAAAATCGTTAATTGAAGTAAACGCCGAGTGTTTAACTCAATTCTAGTATTCCGGTCCAAACATTTTACACCCAAAATAAAAGTATTTAAATTGAATTTTGGTTTAGAAATCCGTTAGCAGAGTTGACTCCAAGTCCAAGTCCACCCAACTTAATCTATGGTTTACATCAAGGGCAATTTATATCCTACACCACGGTGCGCGTTACACTATGCGCCCAGATGCAAAACGACGTCGTTTTAATTAATTTATTTTTTTTTGAAATTTCCCGAATGGCAGTAGTTTTTCTTTAAAAAAAAACCCGTTGCTCAAGAATGTACATAATGTTATACTAGAATACATATAATTGTATACCAGTGAATGGCAGTAGTTTTTCTTTAAAAAAAACCCGTTGCTCAAGAATGTACATAATGTTATACTAGAATACACATAATTGTATACATGAATGTACATAATTATATAACAAAATATACATACTCTTTTTAAAAGATAATACACATAATCTAACATAATACATCATAAACATAAACTTTTAACATAATACACATCAACTCTTAACATAATACACACAAATTTTCTGATTCGGATGTACATAATTGTATAAAAAGAATGTACATAATTGTATAAAAAATGTACGTAACTGTATGAACCAATACACATAATTGTATGAACAAATACACATAACTTTGTGAACAAATACACATAATCCCAGCAACTTCCTACCGCGCCTCCCAAAAGTGCTATGTGCGCCGTGGTGTAGGGTATAACGATTGTACATCAAGCAATACACCAATTAAGTCATCCTCTTTTAGTGAACATAGTCGGACCAATTAAATCACATACAATTGAATTCATTCCTTCAACTGTTATGCTGTTGAACCGTGTCCAAGTGGACGCGGTTCTATGTTCATTATAACTGAATTATATGTTCATAATTATAAAGTTATATATTCATAATTTTTGAACTTCATATTCATAATTATTGAATTCTATATTCACAATTACATAATTCTATGTTCATAATTACTGAACTATATGTTCATAAGTATAAAGCTATATATTCATAGTTTTTGAACTTCATATTCACAATTATTGAATCTCTATATTCATAATTACAGAACTATATATTCATAATTATGTTCACAACTCTATGTTCATAATTATAAAACTATATGTTCATAATTTTTGAACTATATATTCATAATTATGAACAGTTTTGGAACCATGTCCACCTTGTAAGGTGGACACGGTTCCACAGCATAATTTGCCTTATTCCTGAGTGACAAATTATGAACAAAGACACATAAATTATTATTATAAAATATTTATTATTTATTAAATATAATAATAATTATTATATACTTAATAATTTATATATATATATTGCTAATTGCTAGCTCCTCCTCACTCACTCCTCACCATCTTATTATTACTATTAGCTGAAGATGCTGTTGCACCACCCTATTCATCATGTCTTCATCTTCTTCATGCTCCTTTTCTCCTTCCCAAATTATTCACAATCTTTAACCACTTATGAGGATGATGAAAGGACTATTTTACTTATCCTAAAACAACACTGGGGGTATCCATTTTCAGTATTTGAGCAGTGGAACTCCACTTCCTCCCCATGTGACTGGCCTGGAATTTCATGCAACTTCAATGGAAGTGTCACACGGATATCTCTCTCCGGAATGAACATCCCAGGATCATTCCCGGCCTCAACTATTATATGCCAGCTCAACAACCTTGTTTCAATCAATTTGAGTTCCAATAATCTTTGGGGAACTATACCAGCTAACCTCTCCAGCTGCTCAAAGCTAGAAGAGTTGGATCTATCTGGAAATTATATCTTCACAGGAAAACTACCAGGTGAGCTGTTTTCCATGAAAAAGCTGCGCACTTTAGATCTGTCCATGAACTCTTTTAGTGGCTCAATACCAGATGATATAGGGAATTTATACAATCTTGGCTACTTGGATTTGTCTATGAATTATTTAAGTGGCCCAATTCCTAGTACATTGTTACACTTGCAGCAGCTGTCTCATCTTTCACTTTCTTCTAACAAATTGACTGGTAAAATACCAAGCCAGTTGTTTTCCTTGAAAAAGCTACGTAGTTTAATGCTCAGCCAAAACAAGTTCTATGGTGAGATACCCGCACCCAAGGTGCCTCACAGTTTAGAGTCTCTTGTTATTTCAAATAGCCATTTGAATGGATCAATACCAGAAGATATAAGAAATTTATATAATCTTGGCTACTTAGATCTGTCCGGGAACTCTTTTACTGGCTCAATACCAGATGATATAGGGAGTTTATACAATCTTGGCCATTTGGATCTGTCCCGGAACTCTTTTACTGGCTCAATACCAGATGATATAAGGAGTTTATACAATCTTGGCCACTTGGATCTGTCCCGGAACTTTTTTACTGGCTCAATACCAGATGATATAGGGAGTTTATACAATCTTGGCCACTTGGATCTGTCCAAGAATTCTTTTAGTGGCCCTATACCTGCTAGATTGCTCCAGTTGCATAAACTGTACTATCTTTCACTGGCTTCTAACAATTTGAGTGGTGAAATACCTGTAAAACTGGATTTATTTAGTCTGACTCATATATACCTGTCAGATAATCATCTGAGTGGAAGTATTCCAAGAGGCTTCCGAGAATTACAGCAATTGGAGAATATTGATTTATCACATAACAAATTTTCTGGAGACATATGTGAATCTGTTAGCCAAATGTGGGCTATACCAGCACTGGATACCCTTAGGATTTGCAAGAACCACTTTTCTGGGAGAATACCTTATGAGCTAATGAAGCTAAAACATATAGTATTCAGATGCTTTGATGAAGCGAATTTATGTTCATATGCAAGGGACAAAAGATTCCCAACATGCCCTTCCCAACTGTTTTCTGATTATTCGGTTCCGCAACACTGCGCTTCCAATAAATCAAAGAAAATCATAGAAGTCGTCATTGCAGCGGTACTCATTATTGTTGGGTTAGGAATTCTGATACTGGTGCTCAGATATGCATGGGGAAGGAGAAGGGAAAATGATGGAGAAGAATGGAGTATGGAGGGTCAGGAAAAGTATATAGAGTGATCACCAAGAAGGGTCAGAGTGTTGCTGTTAAAAGCATATTGCATGAACAAAAGCAAGGGCAGGGATTAATGGAGAAACAGTTCCTAGCAGAGGTTAAGATTCTTGGGGGAATTTGGCACAACAACATAGTGAAATTGTTATGCTGCATCAGAGGAAAGACTACAAAGCTTCTTGTGTATGAATACATGGACAAACAATGTGTTTACAAATGGTTGCATGGAAAGAAAAGAGGCTTAACTACTCAAGTCTTGCAGTGGGAGAGGAGGCTAAAAATTGCCATTGGAGCTTCACAAGGGCTTTGCTATATGCATCACGGTTGCAGTCCACCCATTGTTCATAGGGATATCAGGTCCAGTAACATACTCGTCGACTCTGACTTCAATGTCAAGATTGCAGACTTTGGACTGGCAAAGTTGATGGCGAGTGAAGGAGATCCAGAAACAGCATCTGCTATTGTGGGAACCTTTGGTTACATTGCCCCGGGTAAATTTTTTTTTTTTTTTTTTTTATATCTTCATCACTTCAATTCCCACTGATTTTTATACTTGCATAATCACATATATCATGAGAATGCAGAATATGGCAGTACAATAAAAGTGAATGCAAAGAGTGACATCTACAGCTTTGGCGTAGTACTCTTGGAATTGACAACTGGAAGAGAAGCCGTGCCTGCAAATGAGGATATGAACCTAGCACAATGGGCACACAAACACCAAAGAGAAGGGAACTCAGCTGCAGATGCCCTAGATGAGGAGATCAAGGACCCACGTTATCTGGAGGCAATGATCGCTGTTTTCAAATTAGGACTTGTATGCACTTTGAATTCCCCATCAAACAGGCCGTCCATGAAAGATATTTCACAGATTCTTCAAAGATACAACGAAAACACTCATCTGTCTCTAGAGAGCCAATAGACAATATAATATTTCCACTTTACTTTTGAATGCAAAATATTTTGCAATGGTTTGTTTATTAGTTTAATTTCACTATTATATTGCACTCACAGTGCAATTATGCTGGATCCTTCATAATTCATAATTCATAATGCAACTCCACTTTGTTTCCTTGAGTTTCTTAGATGTTAAAGTGATAAATAAACTTTCTGGAGCGCAATAGTAATTGCATTGGAGTTCCAAAATTAATAATATTCACGGGAATTGAAACATGTAACTTAACCATTTGGAGGAATTAATGAAGCATGTTTACCTGTTCAAGCTCGTACGATCAATTATATACACCATGATTGCATCAAGATATCAACTCTAGCAATATACTCTTAAAGTCCCAGAGTTTGAATTCAACACTAGATTGCACACTTTGCAAGGTGGACACCGTTCTAAAACTGTTCATAATTATGAATATAAGTTCAAAAATTATGAACATATAGTTCTATAATTATGAACATAGAATTGTGAACATAATTATGAACATATAGTTCTGCAATTATGACTATAGAGATTCAATAATTGTAAATATGAAGTTAAAAAATTATGAATATATAGTTTTATAATTATGAACATATAATTCAGTAATTGTGAATATAGAGTTAAATAATTATGAAAATGAAATTCAAAAATATGAATATATAGCTTTATAATTATGAACATTGCAAGGCGTTTCCACAGCATAACGATTGATTGAAGTAAACGCCGGGTCATTAACTCAATTCTAGGTATTCTGGTCCAAATATGTTACACTAAAAGAAAAGTATTTAAATTGAATTTTGGTTTAGAAATCCGTTAGCAGAGTATGTAGACTCCAAGTCCAAGTCCACCCAACGTAATTTATGGTTCAAATTAGAGCCGTCAAAAATGGATTTTACCCGCTGGGTCGACCCGTCCCGTACCGCCGTAGGTAGGGGACGGGTTCTTCAAATTTTGATCCGCCAGGAGGCGGGCTTTTTAGCCCGTCCCGCCTGGGTCACGGGTCCAGGCGGGGCGGGTCAGGCGGGTCACGGGTTTAGTCCGCGACCTGCTAATACATATATATTTTATATATATATTTAGTATTTAATATATGTTATTTTGGTTTGTGTAATTGTGTTAGTGTGTTATAACTTATAGGATTATAGATTTATAGGAATACAATACTAGGTAGTGTTACTGTGAATAATGTTATTATTTAATATGTTATTTCTTATATTGTAATAGGGATTAAGTTATGTGGTGCTAGTTGTTTTGACTTAGACTAGCCTAGTATGTAGGAGAAGTTTATGTAATCTCTACCTCTTTGTGTCGATTAAGCTTACGTCCCGTAATTTCCTTTTTTGGCGTACGCAGTTGGTGCCATTTTTGCGTGGTCAAGACCTCCTCGGGTTCGTCACTGGTGAGACGCCCTGCCCGCCGGCCACCATCGACGGCGCGTCGTCCGGCTCCGTCTCCGGTGATGCGGCGGCCGTTCCTGCTCCGAATCCGGAGTTCCGGTCGTGGGTGAAGCAGGATGCCTCGATCCTGTCTCTCCTCGTGTCCTCCATGGCAGACGAGGTTCTTCATCTAGCAGTTGGCAGGGATACGTCGAAGGAGGTGTGGGATTCGATCACCGCCGCACTTGGGTCCAGCACGAGGGCTCGTTGCCTCAACCTGCTCGGACAGCTCCAGTCATTGCGGCAAGGTGATCTTTCTCCGGCGGACTACATCGGCCAGGCGCAGCTGATCGTGGAGGCTCTCTCCCTCGCCGGCCGGCCACTTTCCCTCGACGAGCAGAACCTCTGGGTGTTCCGGGGTCTCCGTCCGGAATTCCGAAGCATGGCCTCTTCCCTCACCGCCTCCGGCAAACTAGTGTCTCTCCCTCAATTAGCAGATTTTTTGCAGGCCCAGGAGTTTATTTACTCCGATGATATTCCGGCTGGTCTTGGCAGTGCGTCCAATAACTCGCAGGCAGCACTCCATGTGAACAGAGGCGGCAACCAGTCCGGAGGGCGCTCAGGTGGTCGCCGCGGCAATTCCGGCCAGGGGCGAGGTAATCGCGGCGGCCAGTGGCGCGGCGGTCGCGGCGGTGGACGTGGTGGCGGACAGCCTCGCTGCCAGATATGTCGGGCGCATGGTCATTCCGCTATCTACTGCAATAAGCGATACACCACTCAACCGCCGCAGGCCAACTTGACGGTGACCGGAGATGAAACGGCGTCCGCGGCTGGTTCGTGGTTCCCGGACACCGGCGCGTCTGCCCACGCGACCCCGGATTCATCCATGCTATCTCAGTCTTCGGAATATAATGGTGGTGATGTTCTTCGTGTAGGAAATGGTTCAGGTTTGCTTATTTCACACGTTGGGTCCGCATCAATTCCTTCTGTGTCAAAAATATTAAAATTGTCTGATGTGTTACATGTGCCTAGTCTATCTGTGCCATTATTATCTGTCCAAAAATTCGCTAATGAGAATAACGTTTTTTTTGAGTTTCATAAACACTGTTTCTTTGTGAAGGATTCGACCACTCAGGCAATCCTGCTTAAGGGGCCCGCTTCGGGAGGGCTATACAAGCTTCCGCTACAGAATTCTCATTTTGCGTTTCTAAGTTCCCGCACAACTCCGGTGATGTGGCATCGTCGTTTGGGCCATCCTCACAGTCAACTTCTCCATAAAGTCTTGAAAATGTGTCCTGTCACAAGCAATAAAATAGAGTCAATGAAGCCGTGTGCAGCATGTCATTTGGGCAAATCTTCACGATTCCCATTAGAAAGAGTAGTCAACTCTAGCAAACATGTATTAGATTTAATATTCACGGACATATGGGGTCCGGCACCAGTTTTTTCAAGCACTGGTTTTAAATATTTTGTGCTTTTCGTTGATGATTGTACTCGTTTCTGCTGGTTTTATCCCTTACGGGTAAAATCAGACATCTATAATATATTTGAGTCGTTCCGAGTCATGGTAGAACGCCAATTTGAGCGTTCTATCAAGTCCATTCAATCTGACTTAGGAAAAGAATATCAAAAGTTACACAAAACCTTTGAAACCCTCGGGATTAATCACAGACAGTCGTGTGCATACACGCACGAGCAAAACGGCAAAGTTGAACGCCGGAACAGACACATAGTCGAAACCGGTTTAGCCTTGTTAGCCGAAGGGTCGGTCCCTATGCAGTATTGGGACTATGCGTTTGAAACAGCAACGTGTGTTATTAATTACCTACCCTCATCGGCCTTACAATTTGAAAGCCCATATTTTCGTCTATACAAAGTGTCACCCCCATACACGTTTCTTCGAGTTTTCGGATGTCGGTGCTATCCTCATCTTCGGCCTTATAATAGGCACAAGATTGAGTACCGCTCCAGTCCATGTGTATTCCTAGGTTACTCTCCGTCTTTTAGGGGTTACAGATGTCTGGACCTAACTAGTGGAAAAGTATATATCTGTCGCCATGTCCGGTTTGACGAAGCTACATTTCCCTTTGCAGACTTGCAGGTTCAGGACTCCCAGAAACAGTCCACTACTACTGTACCTTGGGCAGTTGGACCCGTGATTACTCCTATGCCTCCGGCTGTTCCTATAGCTATGGCACCGCCCATAGCGAATCCTACACCGGCTCCCACAGAACTCGTGCCTAGAGCCATTGAAGGGCCCACTACGGCTCCCCCGGCTAGAAAACGAGCTCGGCGGCCTACTGGGACAGAGGGACATACTCATGTTATGCGGCTTCGCACTATGACTCGGGGAAAGGACGAGCAGTTTCATGCCCTCACAACTACCGTTGATCCATCGTGTTATTCCCAGGCCGTTGGGCACTCGGAATGGCGTGATGCCATGGATCAGGAGTTTAATGCTCTGTTGCATAACAATACCTGGCGGCTCGTGCCACCGCAGCCTGGTATGAATATCATAGGGTGCAAGTGGGTCTTTCGTACCAAACGCACTGCAGACGGGTCAATAGAACGCTACAAGGCTCGCTTAATAGCCAAAGGTTTCAACCAGGTAGCTGGTGAAGATTTCTTTGACACCTTCAGCCCTGTGGTCAAGCCTACCACAGTCCGGTTATTATTTTCTCTAGCGGTATCCAATGGT